GCTTGTTTAATAAGCAACCGTGAGGAGGAGATTGGGTCAGATGGGTTTGCTTTGAATCCATGGAGGCTATGCACAACAGAAAAAGTAGAGGAGTTCAAGGCATTGATCAAAGTCATACCAATATGGTCCACAGGCATAATGATGTCCATAAACACTAGCCAAAGCTCGTTTCAGTTGCTGCAAGCGACTTCCATGGACAGGCGTCTGAGCCGCCATGGTTCAAGCTTTCAAGTACCAGCTGGATCATTCGGTATGTTCACAATCATAGCCCTAGCCATGTGGGTCGTTCTATATGACCGTGCCATCATCCCATTAGTTTCAAAGATCCGAGGTAGACCTTTTAGGCTCAGCGTTAAGCTAAGAATGGGGTTAGGGCTATTCATATCATTCTTAGCAATGGCGATTTCCGCAATGGTCGAAAACTTCAGAAGGAAAAAAGCTTTAAGCCAAGGGTATGCTAACAATGCTAATGCTGTTGTAGACATCTCAGCGATGTGGCTTGTGCCACAATATGTGTTACATGGATTAGCAGAGGCTCTTACTGCAATAGGACAGACCGAGTTTTTCTACACCGAGTTTCCTAAAAGCATGTCTAGCATTGCGGCATCTCTGTTCGGTCTAGGAATGGCTGTGGCTAGTCTACTGGCTAGCGTGATCCTCAATGCGGTCAATGAACTAACCTCAAGAAATGGTAAGGAGAGTTGGGTTTCAGATAACATCAACAAGGGTCACTACAACTATTATTACTGGCTACTCGCCATCATGAGCTTCATCAATGTGATCTATTACGCAATATGTAGCTGGTCGTATGGTCCTTTGTTCGACCAGATGAGGAATGGTAGGGTTAATGGTGTAAGAGAGGAAGAGGAGTTGCTTGACATTGTTGGGAAAGGCTTCGAGAAGGAAGATCGAAGTGAAGTTGTTAAAAATGTTAAAGAATAATAAAAATCTTGCAAGATTGCATCTTGTCTATAAAAAGGGACCAAAAACCATAGGAATTGGTATTTATTGCATTGGTGTGCGTGTTGTTATTTGTTAATCAGTATTAAGGTCTATATATAGATGTGTAATTAGATTAGTGTGTGTTTGCGTTTTAGGGTTTTTGGTAAAAAAAGGTTTATGATTTTTGGGTATGTAATTTTTTTACAGGCCAAGTTGTTTGTTGTATAATATGTTATTGCGATTGATGGAGACTTCTTTGTGTATATTGTTGTTTTATTTCCTTTTATTCTTTCCCATATATATGTATTTCATATACAATATATTAATGCAAAATGAAAAGCATATAAATTTATCTCAACAAGTTTGAAGTTAAAAAAATTCTGTAAACCTACTTTTTTAGACAGATCTTATGAAGAAATACTTATTTTCGACAGATGTCCACAATGGACAAGTGTATTAACAAGTGTCACACAATCAACATCTATTTATGCTCCCAACGAAGAAAATTTCTTCCGCCATTGCTATTACGTACATCTCTAGTCCCTCCTCTTCTAATAATTGGACCAACACTGCTGACTTGAGTCTTCAACTAGATCGAAGAGTAAATTTAAACTACCTGTGGCGAGGAAACCTTCACCGAGCAAGCTTGCGGTGTAAGCGCCGATGTGTCTATCATACTAGGCACTAGCAATCATTCCGGCGTGTCATACATTATCTTCTCTCTTAACAAGAAAACTAATTTGAAAAAATATTATAAAACGAATACTCGTACAAACAAACTATCAAATTTAGTAAAACTTATGTTGCTAAATAAAAGTAGAAAACATTTGCTATTTCCATGTTTTAAAATAAGAGTAAATGAGTAATTATATCGCAGCATAATTAAGTAGAGAAAATATTGTGATTGTCCTTAATAAAAAAATCAACAAAAAAATATTGAAAAGAACTTAAGAAACAAAATGTGTATATTGCGGACTAAGTACTATGTATGAGCTATCAAAGTCCAACACTCCACCTATTAAGTGAAACCAGTAAAATCTGGAAGAAAAAACTCTCTCTAGATTTTGGTATACATTCTAGATATATATATTTCTTTTATGTATTTTTTTTAATGAAATTTCTTTTATGTATTAAGAATGTTTACACTAACATGTTAACACCCACATAATCTTGTACAACATAGTTACAGTAACAATTAGCAAGTAGGTGACTAATTGCAGTGATATTGTTGTTATGAGCTCTCAAAAACATTTAAAAAGCTGGTAATGTTGAAAAATGTGAAAACCTAAATCATAACTACTAAAGTTAGAAATAAAAGTAGTACCACTCGATTTCCTCGCTACCAACAAGAGTATAGGATATTAAGATGAGGCAATTCTATTCAAAATGCTCCGGGTAAATGAAAAGATTGAGAAGTGTCGTTTATTTTACATTGTGTTTTTAATGTCACTTATGACTCTTTTGCATAAAAACTAATATGTCACTACAGAGAAGTATATGAATATTAATTAAAGGCTTGTTTTGTGGAGTGGAGGAGGCAAGTCTTTGAGGCTGAGGGCAGTTGGAGTCATCCATAAGTTTCCTCCGGCTATAACTTCTCTATTTCCTTCTCTTCTAATTTCAACCATCACTGCCTTCATATTTCCTTCGGTCCCCGTAGACCTTCCTTCTATCTCTACTGTTTCCTGCAGTTGGACCTGCACTATTACAGAAACTTAAGCATTTATATTTTTTTTTTTAATATTTCAACAGACAAATGTAAGAAAATAAAATTCACCTTTGAAAAAAAATAAAAAACAAAAATGAGTCAAATGACAGTCACTGAGTAGAACTTGAATAATCGAATGTCTAAACCCTTCTAAGTTTATAATTATATCCGTAAATTATTGCTTTGGTTTTTCTTAAAAATTTGTTCGTAGCCTTCTTGTTTATTTTTGCTTTGCTAACAATAATACAAAGGGATGACATATATTTTGTGAATGATTATAGACTTTCAACTCAATAATAGTTTTACCATACTGGTGTTGGTCAATTTTAAGACAAATAATTCTTAAAATGAAATTTGGCTTTATAAGGACTTAAAGTGTTGATTAATCGCCTAATGTCTAAAAAATCATTTAGGTGTTTGTAAGACGGTTTAAGCGTTTAGAAGATAAACTCATATTATAATACAAAATATCATGATTCATAACTAATAAAATTTAAATATCCTAAATCTTAAAAATAGGTTAAAAGTTCAAATCACAAGAAAAATTTGTTACTAAAAAAAAAAATAGAAAACATATATGTGAATTCTACAAAAACATCTATTTTAGAAATAAAAATGTTAAACCATAAATGACAAATTAGAAAATAAAAAAAAATATTCGTGCGATTTCACGATATCAAACAACATATAAACTTTTGTAACCATGTATCTATGAAGTCAAAAATTAGAATTTAACTATAAATATGAGAAATTACAAACAAAAAATTAAAATTATTTTTAATTGATTAAAGACATCATAGAACCGCCTAAGACTGTTTAGATTCTCCTAAAGCTGTCTAGAAACACCTAACTCTGCTTAATAACAAAAACATCTAATACCAACATTTAGAAGATAATCAATATGGTTTATGAATTGATAAAATATATATATATATATATATATATATATATATATATATCGAAATAGAAAATGTTAGAAACTACTATATATATGAACCAAAAGAAAAGCAAAGACAAAGATAGAGTAATATTCACCGAAACACGTTCGGTGATGACAAATTTACATCGTAAAATCCCTTTTTCCAAATGGATTATTTTGAGGCCACTAAGGATTAGGTTTTCTAGTTGGCTACGGCCTGTCCCATTGGCTAAGCCATCGAGGTATGATCTCATTTCCAGGACGAGCGAATCTTCCATATCTTCTCTCTGTGATTATATAAACGATATCATTACAGTTTTTGTTGTATTTATGATAATCACTCACTAAGCCATTGCGATATTAATTGGCTTTTCCCATCTAAGTTAGGTCTTAACTAATCTATTGTCGTTGGTTGATAGTTGATACAATAAAATCTATGATTTGTCTCTTTATACTAAACATTCCAAATCAGATCAACACGGTAAGGTGAGTTCACTTTTGGAAAACGAGTTTTGTGATGCAGCGTATATTTCTTCTATTTTAAAAATTTCTAGATCTTTTTATACAATTAATCTAATTATGGTTCTTCAGCTTTATAGAGATTAATAATATTGAGATCTTTTTTTTTTATCTCAGAGATCCAGCTTTGGTTTGCTAAGTGATGAAGAAAAATTATTATATTTTTTTCTAGTTTAAATTAGCTATAGAAAACTTCAAAAACTTGATGCAATTTTTTTTGTAAAAATAGATTTTTTTTTTGCTTGCATAAAAATTTAAACATATCAATATTATTGAGATTTAGTCTAAAATTATTATTTATCTTTTTCTAAGTTTTTTTATATAGTTAGTCTAATTATGTTTGTTCAGTTTTTGAATTTTTGATGGTTTAATAATAAGTGATATTCAGTACAGAGATCGCAATAAATCTAACAAAAATGATTGGTTTATTTGGAGATTTTCAAACGAAATGAATAACCAGGGCCGGTTCTGGATTAAAGTAGGTAAAGCCCTTGCTTCAGAACGCCAAAAATATATATAAATTAAAGGCATTAATTATTGAAAAAATGTGTTGTAGTGTAGTGGTTTATCCCTCCAAACATGAGGCTACAGATATAAGCTTCAGCATTTTATGAAAAAATTTTATTAATAGACTTTTGGGCTTTAGACGTTCAAACTTATTGGGCCGGCTCTGTGAATAACATTGAGATTTGACAATGATATACCACTTGCATGGTAAATAGATATCTAATTGGATTTGATTGGAGCCATGCATCAATTAAAGCTATCTAACTAATTTATGTACGTCGTATGTATTGATATTTCTCTAGGCCAAATATGATTTCTTACACGCATATTCTTCAAATCTCAATCAATATAATTTTGATTTTTAAGTAATGCTATATATAGCATGACAACTTTAATTCATGTCAATCAAAGCTTACTAACTTGATCAAAACCATTGTGTTTGACATTGATGCTAAATGGTGTCATCAATATCCTCATCCATAATCTACCTGTGGCTATGAGTTCTTCATCACATTCTCTTCGAATCTCAATTACTACTGAGTTTAGATCTCCTTTCTTCCCAACCACTCTTGCTTCTATCCTTCTTCCTAGATTTTTCATCACATTAAATATAAAATTAATTATGTTAATAAAAGTTCTAATAATCGATACAAACAAAAGAAAAATCATTTTGTATGGTTTCTTTGATAATATATATACACACGAATACAACTATAACCTAAACTATAGGTAATTATAACCGAACCAGATACCATATGATCTTCAGAGTTATATTTTATCAACAAAATATTTAATATTAATAAATTTTAGCAAAATGTTAATGAGATTCCTTACTATTTAAGAAGTTAACTAAAAAATTTTAACTTATCTAGTCAGATAATACTAGAACAAAGAGGAAAAATAAGAGTGAGAAGTCGCACTTGAAACTTGGCCGTCGAATATAACGAGTAGTTGAGATCAACCGAAACATGAGATCCTCCGGCTGAGTACACCGCGGTGGCTCCCATCAATTCCATCAGCGTCGCAATGGCTCCGGTGTGAAAAGTCCTGTCCTCGGTCTAAATATGAACGTGTATTAATAGTAATACAATATGACACTCATCAAAACTAGTATCAAACACAACTTTTTTGTCATCAACGAAGAGCCACTATATGTATTGCATATAAAGAATCAAATAAAATTTGAATCATGCGATAAAGTTGATAAGAGAACAGAGTTTTTGCTAAAGCGTCTTCTCGGATATTATTCTTCTTAGAGACAAAATGAAGAAGAGGGGCCTAACAAGCTTTCTTCCTCCTTTTGATGGGATTTACATACAAAAATTTTAGAATCATTTACCAAAACGCGATGTGTTACCACCAATTTACACCGTACGATCCCTTTTCCAACATAGATTACTTGAAGGCCTTGGAGGATTAAACCGGGAAAGTGGGCATGGCTTCTTTCTTTGGCCAGCTCTTCCAAATACGCTGTCGTTTTGAGGATGGCCGAATCTACCATCTTTTATTCTTTCTATTCTATAAATATGAAGCTTTGCTATTTTGTTTTCATCTTTAAACTTGGTTTTTTGTATCTTCATAGTCCATATATATGACTATTTATTGCCAAACCTCCAAAGAAAATTGTGGACATCTTGTAAAGACACAAACTTTGGGATACCAAATTGTAAAACCAAACCAAACTTCATATGCTTTTGTCTACCAATTCATATATATATATATATATATATATATATATATATATATATATATATTTCTTATTTGACATATACAACACACATATATATGTATATCTTTTTCCATCATCATTGACATATATATCATCATATAATAAGAGCTAAAAAAAATTAATAGAGACATAAAAGATATAGAGCTTGCTTGGCGTAGACTATAGAAACTTTAAACTATTTTACAGTCTTAAAAGTCTTTTTTTAGCCAAACACACTTTTTTCCTTTATTAATTTTAAAGTTTTAAAAGCTAAACTTTTTATTTTTATTCATGAAATCTAAAAGCTACGTGGGAAAAGCTTTTACTCCAAAAACTTATAAAAACTAATACATTTATTTTTTTTTTCTATTTCTTCTTTCCCCAGAATTATTCAAATTTTTTTGTAAATTTATATATAGATAATTATTAACTAAATTTAATTAATTAAATCTTATCATTTTTTTTTGCTTTCCTTTGAAATCCATTTCATTAATTTTTTTAAAAATAATTTTTCTGGTTTTTTTTATCATTTCTAAAAGTAACAGTTAAATTTTTATCGTAAAAGTTTTTAAAGTAAAAGCTAATAATAACAGTCTACGCTAAGCAGACCCATAATTAATAGTTTGAAATATAATGGGGTATTAGGACCAATAACACTAAATATAATCGAAACTAAGCAAATGACCATGAATTTATTTTTGTTGCTATAATATTCTGTAACCTATTCTCGGGTTTATGTTTGTTTCATAGGTTTCATTTATATCTTATATAAATAGAATTTTACAATTTGGTTAATATGGACTTCCATATCATTTTTTTTTCCATTTCTTCTTCTATTAAGAGAATTATAGAACAGATGGATTCATGTAATTTTGGAGGCATTCATATTTAAAGCTTGCTAATATGAGGTACTTTGTCTTTGACCTTGGGACTTAGTTGTGACATCCAAATCCTTCCTATAGAGCTATAACTTCTCCGCTGCCCTCTTTTCTAATCTTAACCGCTGCCCCTTTGAAACCTCCTTTGCTTGCTACCACCTTCCTCTATCTCCTCTTCTTCCTGCTTTTTTTTATCACATTAAAATAACATTTTGACAAGTATAAAATAATGCATGGTATTTAATTATTTATATAGAAAAGCTATAAGAGCGTGAATCTAACTAAAATTGATCCAATTAAATAGCTTTCATTTATCATCTATGATAGATTAAAAGAGATTGACATAAAACATTAATCTAAATATTAAGATTACCATTTGTATTACGTTAATTTAATTTAGTAAAACTTATTTAAGAAAAAAATACTTAGATATAACCGAATTTGTAATGAATATAATTGAAATTGAGAACTAGGGAAGTCAAACTTGAATCTTGGCTGTGGAATAAAAAGAATTGTTGAAATCAACCAAGACATGGAATCCATTCTGGGCAGAGTACCCAACGGAAGCTCCGATCATGTCAATCTCTCCGGCATGCCAAACCCATCTTCATCTTAAAGTAAAATCATTTTATAATTATTATATATATAATCACACTCGTTAATAACTATGAAAATTAAAAAGGTTATAAAATGCAAAGAATTGTATAATAAAAAAAATTATGTTTCTTTATTAACCAGAGAATCTTAAGTTGCATATTAATCCACCGAATTTTATAGAAATCTGGATTTCTATAGCCTTATAGGGGTGATTATTGAAAATTGAAATCGCAGTGAAAAAAATTCGAATTCAATTTTTTCAAAGTGGATTATTTAACCGTTGGATTACCTACCACTTGATCTATAATCACAAATATACAGTATTTATCTTAAGCTATTGATATATGAAATATTACCGAAATACGATCGGTGATGGATAATTTACACCGTAAAATCCCTTTTCCGATGTGAATGATCTTTAGTCCTTCTTGAGAATTAAAGACTCTAAAATGATATGGCCTTCTCTTTTAGCCACGTCTTCGATATACGGCGTGATGTTTGATATTGAGTCTACCATGCATATTTTTCCTCTTTTAATCACAAATCATTATTTTACTGTGCTTTTAATGTCTATACATATGTAGTAAATTCAGGTACATAACTCTATTACGATTGATCGGCATGTTTCATGTCCTTCATCTTTTATTAATTGTAGTATTTTTTTTTTTCTCTTTTCTCGGAAGATGTATTTCACTCTTTCAGCTTGTTTTTATATATATGAACATAACTTGACTAATTTTTAGCAGAGAGCATTTTTTAATTTTGTGTGGATTCAGGCTGATGACTGGACGTTTCTCTAGCTCCGACATCAACTTGGTTAATTTCTTTTACTATTTTTCTTTCAGTTTATTTTTTCCAATTTATTTTATATCTAAATATTCATGTTCTAATTTCTTTTAATTTAAAAATCATGTTTTTCACTACCTCGTAGAATTTTTTTATGCTGCAAAAAGAAATCAACCAAAATTTTTTAAATTATTCAAAAAAAACACAAATTTACATGATAGCTATGGAAAAAAAAATAATCCCACACTTGCATTGGAAATTATAATACATATGATATAACACACTTGCATTGTATAATGGTCCGCAAATAAGGTTGATCAGTTAAGAATAAATTACTTTGACATATACTGATTTGGAGGAGCAGAACTTGGTGCTTCACTCTCATAATGCCCTTGTCTTTGAGCAAGTATCCCATTCCAACCTGCGATTAAAAACAATTTGTTTTGCATATTAATTTTCGTAACTATAAAAAAGTTACGTCTTTCCATGAAAGGTTCATAGTATCTCTATAGTCTATATATATTTGTGATGGATCTACAAAACGTAAATCGTGTATATTCCAAACAGATATTTTTATAAGTCGAACCAAAATGGTTATCCGCTAACCTATTAAACTAACACTTGAATATATAAATTTCTTGGACTATATTTGATTTGAATCTGAATTTTGAGAAAGTACCTAAAGAAGGATCAAGATTCCTAGCCTTGAGCTCTCTGTATTCTTGACAAAGAGCGCAACAAGAGCAAAAGACATGAGTGATACAATCTGAATAAGGAGCTTCCACAAGATTAAATTTTCTTCTTATTTTTTCCCTGTACTTTGATCCCATTACCCACTGTGAGCATAAAGCCGGCATCATCAACAAGTATATGAAACTTCCAAGAGGGCAAGCTGCATAACACAATATCATTACATAAGCTTTTGAAAATCGTATTGAATAAGAATCCAATTTGGTTTTCAAATCGTGTAAACCGGGACTTACTCATCTCTCCTTCATCCACTACTTCCGCTATTTGTCCAAATGTCACACAAGGTAAGATTGATGTCATAACGGCTGCACAAAGTGTTAAAGATTAGTGAGTTTAACTCTAGAAAATATTTATTGAACTAAGAACCGGAGCTTTTTGGTTAACCAGAAAAATAAAAACAAATTGTATATGGATACAATACCATTGGTTTGGTCTTCTTGACAATCAAACAAACCAGTCCTCCATGGACTCCCGACAGATAGTTTAACATTAGCTTGATGATAGTTTGGTGGAGCGAATTGACTCGGTGTACCGGTTTGCTGAGCCGGGAAACCATTTTTGGGATTCTCCTCTGGTGGAGTAGTGACTCGACCCATTGGTTGATATATGTGAAGTGTAGCTAGCTAGTTTGATATGAAGAGAAATTTATAGAAGCAAAAGAAGCTTTATAACTATTTTATCTTTTCTTTTTTTTTCCTAAGCCATGAAATTGGTCAAATGCTGTTCATTGGTCAGTATAGAAAAACTCGTTTTTCTAATTGAGTAAACGAAGAAATTCTAAGTCTTCTATGCAGAAAACGATAAATAAAATGTAAAGTTTTGATTTTTAAGGATCTACCGACTAAAAGTCAATGAACGATACGGAAAATATGTCTCAATCAAAGTCAAAGTCGTCTCTAGCCTATCCTTCTGATATTTTGTTTTTAAAAACAAGTTGCAAGCCAAACCAAATTAATCTCATTGAAGATCAGATCCATGACGTATTAGTTACGGATTAAATCCACTAGTTTTCTTACTCAATATATGAATTATACTTTTGGACAATTAGGAGGAATAATCCATATATTATTGCAGGTTGATGTGATCTCAAAGCTTACTAACCGTAGAGAACAAGATACCAACTATAGTTCAAACCCGGTTGAGACTCGAGACTACAGGCAATTCGTCAACTTGTCTAATGAAAATAATAAAAACAATTATTTGTGAGAAATTCAGAATTTAAGGGGTACAGAGTTATTTAAATGATGATTTTTAAATACACATTAAAATCTAGTATTATTCCGACCAAAAAAAAAAAATCTAGTATTATATCAATTAGTAATTTATGAAATACAACATCCAAAAATCTAGTATTTCAATCGTTGATTTATGAAATACAACAACCAAACGAAAAAACTATGAAGATAAGAGAATAATAAAAAGGTAAAACCACCTCATTATATAAAATCTATAGCATATCTCAAAATTTTAAATCAGCTAATGTGAATATGATCAAGAATCAAATAAATAAATTAACGTCACAATAATAACCCAAATTAAGCTTCATATATATGGATCAAACATTACAAATGAAGTGAGGTTGGATTTAAGACCAAGCTTCAACATTGTACCTCCCAGCTTTCTCCAAAGCCTTGAGCCACCGTGAAGCTACCTCCTTTGATCCTCCCGTCTCCTCCGACACAACATCCTCCAAAGCCGACATTACATCAGAAGGCATTTTCGTCGACGAGCCAGCCACGTAAACAGCAGCTCCATCACAGAGAAAATCCCAAACTTTCTTGCTCATCTCGCGAATCTTGTGTTGCACGTAAACCTTCTTCGGTTGGTCTCTAGAGAACGCTGTGTAAAAGCCACCGCCTTTTTCTTCAGAGAGCATGCCTCCTTCTCTCGTGTGAGACTCCCAGAAGTCGCTGTAGAGAAAGTCTGTGTCTTTGTTTCTGCAACCGAAGAAGAACATGACCGGTGCGATCGGGCTAGACTGAGCTTGTATGGCTCTCTCGGCTATGAACCCACGGAACGGAGCACATCCGGTTCCAGGTCCGACTAAGATGAGCGGAAGCGACTGTGGTGGAGCAGGAAGAGAGCCTTTGTGGAACCAAACTGGTATGTTTATCTCTAACCAAAGCCAAGAAACAAAAACAAAACGCATCAGAAACAAAGAACTGAATCAGATATTATGGTAAAGAAGAGACAAAAGTTCTAACCTTGTTCAGGTGTGAGGCTTGCAAGCCAAGAGGAGCATAGACCTTTACGAGTTCTCTTATAAGGAGTGATCCATGATACTATGCTTACGGTCAAATGTACTTGAGCAGGGTGGGCCAAAGGAGACGAAGATATCGAAAAAGCTCTTGGTTTTAGCGCTGGGACTAACTGTACTAGCCACTCAAAAGGGATTTTCACTGAAGGGAAATCCTCTAGCACCTACACATGCATTCATAATAATAATAAGATCTGTTTGGTTCAAGACGAATCATGTTTCCATGTGGGATCCGGTGCTATTTTACCTCAAGAACGCTTCTTCTTTCCTTCTGGTTGTAATTGTAGAGGTCATCTCGTCCCTCGGAAGAAGCAAAGTATTGAAGTCTTTCCTTTTCATGTTCAGCTGTTGCATAGAGGCTCATAACCTGTACAGAGATGATACAGTACAAGGAATCCTGTCAAATACTTGTTTCATATACAAACTCTAAACCACATCTATGTATAAAGAAAAAGACCTTCATAACTTTAATATTCAAATGCATTAGGATAGAAGGGTTCATCATACCTCGAAGAAGTATCGTCGAGGGGAAGCGGATGTAACATCCATTGTTAATTCAACAAAAGTCTTAAGCTTAATAGGGAACTGTGTAGTTACTTCTCCACGAGAACCCATATTCTCTGTCTCTCTTGGACAAACCTGAAAATTGTCAGCCTTGATTTTAGAATCCCAAAAATTAGCTGATCTTAGATCATTATGTCAACAAAGAGGAGCTACTTACTGTGATGAATGATTCGGGGTCTAAATCACAGCGTTCTATAAACGCATCTATTGCTGAAGGATTTTGGCTCGGAAGAAGCTCAACAACATCGCCGACTTCATATTCCATAGTCTTACAAGAGGAGAAAACCAAAGAGGATAAGACTTCACTCCCAAAAATGATTAAACGTTAAACTTAAAAAGTAAGTGCGGCAAAGTACTTACAGAAGACACAAATTGGAACTCAAAGTGGCGGACATCCTTTGTGCTACCAGCTTTAGTCAAGACTTCGTTTCTGGTCTACACGAGTGGAATGTTAAGGCAAGCTAAGGGAGCATCAAGCAACATCAACTCCACCAAATTCAAGGTAACATAACATAACCAGCGAGGTTGCATAGCATATAAAACAAAAAAAAAAAATTATGTTGGGCAAATGATGTGCGTACCATCTTGAGAAAGCAGTCTGGTTCACTTTTTTCCTTGGATAATTTCCCGGGAGACATTCCTCGGGCTTTTTGTATGATGTCTGCCAAAACATAAAGAGGCATATTATGCAAGAGAAATTCCCTAAAACAGGTAAATGCTACCTAACCTTTTTCAAGTTGAAGATAATTTTTTTTCAAGGAACCAATTGAAAAAGAAGATGAGTAAGACTACTTCCAGCATATTCATTCAAAATCATTTCTAGCGATTAGCATTAGCAAGTAGAAAGTTCACTGTTAAGTAGCATAATATAGTCCTAAGCTAACACGAATGTAGTAAAGTTGCCACTCAATATGACCATAAATTCCAATCTCAAAACATGATGGGCGTAAAATTTTGCTATACCTGACTCTGCCAGCAATTTAGGCTCCACTTTCTCCTGCGTATGATACAAAATCCTATATTTAGGCTGGTCAATTACTTCATCTCGAGGAATCATCACATCTGGACCATTAGGAAAATATTCTGGATTGATCTGATATAATGTACTCCAAAAAGACAGCATCCACGGATCAAGAGTTCCTTCATACCTGAAAATACAGAAAACATCAAAACTGAAAATTTTAGTACTCTAAAAGTGGACTAAGCCACAGGAAGAAAGTGGAGATGATATCTTCAACTGATCAAATGGTTCATTTGATTTCAAAGAATGTTACATAAAAGCAGGATCAACTTTGACAGAATCTTAATATACCGTATCATACCCTGATGGGTGTTGATCATCTCCCAGACCTTTTTCAATGATGGTTGTGGCCCCAAGATCTGATAATCTTTTGTCGAGCTTCTTTGCTACAAACTGAAGCCATATAAAAAAAGTCAAGTCATGAAAAATTTGTGCCACAGAAGAATAATAATTCAGAACAAATGTCAAGATTTCTGGCCGTGAGGTTTTAAAGAGTAATAAACCAACATGGAAAGTCTGTAAAACAATATGAAACGGAAAATAAAGTGGCAGATGCTCTTACGTTGTACTTTTGGTAACCAGAATCACCTAGTCCAAACACCGCAAAGCGAACTCGTTGCAACCAAGAGTTTCCCAGATTTTTTTGAAGAAGAAACCTCCAAAATACCTTCAATGATTAAAAAGATGATAAACGATAAGCTACTATAACTGAAACTGCGTTATTTGTAGTGGATCCGACGAACCTTAAAGGAATCTGGAGAGTCTCCTTGCCCTGTAGTGGAGACGACAAAAACAACAGCCTCCTCATGAGGTAAGGAACTCTACAGTAATCACATGGTAACTTGAATAAGAACTTACAAAGAAACACACTTTTCTGTCACTACTAGAGAGTTTGTGGTATCCCAATGCTTACTCAAAATTTCAATACAACCCCTGAAATCTAACAGCTGAATTATTGGTATGAAGGACACGTATGACCAATCATTGGTTTCTTTGCCAGGTGAGCAAACAGAGGAATTCTAAAGGTTTCCTTCACATATCATGCATCCTATTAATGAATTAAACAATCTTCAAGAAAAAGTAACAAGCTTTTCAAATCCATATAATTTACTACACCACATACCGCGTCGAATTCGTCAGTGGAGACTACAGAAGCTGCACATCCGCGGCGTTCAGCTTCGCGGCCAATACGCTCAGCCGCATCAAGGGCGTTTCCGGTCTGAGAAGCATACAACACAAGCAGCTTCCTCGGCTTTTCTCCCATTGCCGCCACTTCAATCACCGGATCCAAAAGTCGATTAAAAAACAAGAAAAGTAAAAACCATTTGAGAGAAGAGGAAACAGTGATAAAGTCCCTTTTGAGAGAAGGATCATGCGCAAAATTGTTAAATTCTTCGAAAAGACTCGAATTTTACGGGTGAAATACATATATCAAAGAACTAAACTCTTAAATTTTACAGAACCTAGCAGAAGTGATCACGAATCAGGCAAGTTTTTCGATACCCATCTTAATGATTCCACAACTACGAAGACACGACACGCAAAGACGAACTCGATTGACAACAATTCATGGGAAGCTAACCTCTAGCCAAGAGAAAAAAAAAAGCATATTAAACCGTAACTTGTTATATCAATGTTACAAATTGGAATGAATGAAAAATTCTGAAGCTTTTTTTGTTGTTAATGGTCCGACTCCGAGGGCTTGGGGACGGAATCGGATAAATTTCTGATATTAGCACCGGAAGACATTCATTTTATAAAGCATTCACACAAAAGCCCTTAAACTTCAGTTTTCTTCTCTGTTTTCCCCCACTCATAAAACTGTATCAGTATGTCACATGCAATGTGCAAGTGCAGTCGTCATGGAAAGTGCATTACCAGTTGACTCTGTTAATTCCAAATTAATAATTATGAAGCTGTAAGTGAACCCAAGCTAAGTTCCCTAGATTCATATATATGCGTAAATAATTGTCTTCATATTAGACAGATTAAGTCAACATGAAAGTTAGCTCTTTTTCAGCCAGATTGAGATAAAAAACGTTCTGTTCTTAAAAGCTAGCAAATGCCATTGATAAAACTCGAAACAGAGACTACAGAGAAGACTGAAATCAAAAACTTCATAATCATACCAATCAAGAGAGGTGGCCAAATTACTCAATTTAATAGTTCAACAATAACTTTGACGTTAGCTAGTGTATACCCATTGACCCACATCTTACTCGTCAACAAAGCACAAAGTCCAATCTATCTTTCTGTATTATCAATCATCAAAGTATAAATCTTTGGTGAAAATATTCCTCTGGCTGCGCAATTAATAACCACAGGCCAATACAGATCCTAAAACGATACATACCGAGAAAAAATAGACTTTTACGGATTCAAAAATTGACCAATCCTAAAGCTCAATTCAAGTTTCTCTAATTCTTCAGTTAATCAGCACTGTAAATCAATCAAATTTAGTTAGCCAATCCTTTTTTTTTTCCGGCCACCAGAGTTACCTACACCTCGGTTGAATAGAGAGAGAAGAAGAAAGAGCGGAAAAGGAAACTGACCTTGGAGATTGGAGCTTTTCCTCCGTCGCCGGAGAGCCCAAATCAAAATGGGTACCTTTTGTTGTTCAGAGCAACACAAGGGAGAAGTATGAAGGACGTAGAAAAGGATGGCGACAATGGAGGAGGCAGTGGTAATTCACGATAAGCAGAGACTTTGATTGATTATACAAAGAACGAAACCGAAAAGGGCGAGCGAAAAAGGAACCTCTTTTTTTATTGATTTGATTTTGTTTTTATTTTCCTTTTTCTTATTTCTTTCTAAATTCCCTTGATAGAGAGGAGTTTTGAGCCCAATGGCATTGTATAAACTTGGCCTAAGCCCTCTTAAAGTGAAAAAACATCCGCAGCTTCAAAATGGGCTTCAGGCCCTTTTCCCCATCATCCTTAATTGGTCTCTCTCCATATACTCTGTTTGAGTGAACATCCGAGGAGGATGAGTGATATTAGACCGATCAATTTGTACAACGTAGTCTACAAAATGATATCCAAAAAGTAATGGAGCCTTAAGAATATCTTCTTCAAGACACTGTATTGGAGAGAAAATGGCATTTACCTGAGGGAGATATATAAGAGAGAATGTGTTAATCGCTTATGCATTATCTTAGGATTGAGCATTATGAAATTACACTGTTAATTCAGTTTATGAACGTCTTTTAAAAATCTATATACTAATATCATTTATACAATCTCTTGATAATCAATTCAACGGAAAGTGACTCCAACTGCATAAACAAAACAATTTCAGCAGGGGCCTGAGAAATAATAGTGACGGTATAGTGAGGAGCCTGAGAAATTGGAACTGGTTGGAGGAGAGAGCAGAATGTGATTCGTTGAATTTCATCACCTGCATATAAAAAAATGGGAGCTTTTTTCAAAACGGAATGATTCAGAACAACACGACTTTTACGAATTGCAGGAAAAGATAAGCTTTTTATTGGAAGACTTCTACACGCATATATGCTTCACTTGTACTATTCATAACCAGATCTCTCTCAGGCAGATAAAACCAGAAGACGCCATGGAAATGAGAGCATTTTTACAATCATAATGTATGCAACAACCAAAATGTTATGAATTTCGCAAAAAAGAATGGCCATTTATCTCCTATAGACCGTGCAATTTCGAAAACCATATGGAGTTTTGATTTCTACGCCTATATATATATTTTCACTTTGTTCTGAGGATGAAGAACAAAAGTGGTTACCTTTCCGCAGACAAGACAGTTTTTTTCATTTCTCTCCATCCACTCATAAAATGCAACTGAGGTGGAAATGGTTGGAACATCATGAAGCAGAAGCCTAGGAGTAGAGCAAAATGCTTCAAAAAGAAAATTATCCATGCAGTAGCTTGAACCGAAAATGTGAGAGAGCGGTTTCTCCTCTTCTAAATACCGATTCATAACATTAGATTAGAGATCAAAGAAAATATTGCCACTAGAACCTAAACATGAAACTTGTGAGATTAACCGTCAAAATCATCAATTGAGATAAGCAATGCAAACAAACCTACCAGGTTAAGAAAAATTATGAGCAGGGCGTATTATGCAGGGACAGTTCCTATACAGAGCTACTTGGATTCTTGTAACTCATCAATGTCTTCAACCCGAAAGCAAGAATAGACACAACTCATCATCTCCTTCTCCTCCTCTACTCTGCTTTCTTTCTCTCTATGTTAAAATATTGTCACCTCAAAACCAAGATTCACCAGGTAAAAGTTTCTATTGACAGAAGAAGTCTCGTTCCCCAAAAACATCTGCTAAACAATCTGCTTCATATCTCTACTTTACCTGAAATGAGAAAATGGGTTTGATTCCTTGATAACTCCAAGATGCAGAGAATGATGTGATCACTGTTGGAAGAACGCAACTATCAAATACATGAAAACTCATCTAAGTAAAACCATAAGTCCAGTTTCTGTGTAGTAGCAACTGAGATTTTCGATCTCAACTTTGAACACTCACAAGACTAATTTGAGTTTACATTAAAGTGAGCCCTCTTTTCAGCAAGACTATGGAAACCAATAAGACCTAACCGATCTTCAGACTTATCCCACTGAAACAATTTACATTCCAAGAAAGAAAGAAAATTGCCAAAATCAAAAACTAAGGGCATATATGTGTGTAAATGAAGTGGAATAGAGTAGCAATTGCAATTTTGGATTTTAAGGTTTTAAAGACTTGCAACATTCTGAATTGAACCAACGACGTCGAGATAAGTCGATGATTCGGCAATTTCCCACGAGCTTTCACCATAAGAGCAATGATAGGGTTTCGTTTCTCTATAAGAAACCTAGAAATTGAGAAGTTCCTTCTCCAATTAAACAAGGAAAAGGATCAACCTTTACCTCGATGTAGAGAAATTTGGAACTTTCTGAAATTGATGTGAGACTGGGTTTTCTCTGAGTGAGCAGTAATGGTGGAGCCGGCAAAGCTGCAGAAATGGACGCCATTTTCTACCTGAAAAAACGAAGCTTTAAAAACAATCAGAGCACAAAGTTGAAAATTTAGAGATTTTTTTTTGTCAAATCTGAGAACGGACCATGAAAGTAAGTAGCTTTTTAGGCTCTTCGAGACAGTGACGAAGGAAGTTTGATTCGATTTAGTTGATGGATTAGAGATATTTTTTTTGGATACAACAGCAAGAACAACTCTGACAAGATTAGATAGCCTTATCTTGCTCTCATCCACGTGGCATCTCATAAATGGCATACGAAATCTCAGAGATGAAAACCCATTTCGCCACGTGTCCGAACAAGATCCATCCATGAGTGAAGAAGATTCTCCAGCTATACAAATTACAACAATCCACTCACTCACTTTGGCAATAACAACAACAAGAGAGAAGTCATTACTGTTTGATCGGAGAACAAACATGGCGTCTTTTGCAGCCATCGCCGCCGTTCAACCATCCTCCGCCGTCAAAGGACTCGGAGGTAGCTCTCTCGCCGGAGCTAAGCTCTCCATCAAACCATCTCGCCGAAGCTTCAAACCCAAATCCACTAGGTAAATTTAGGGCTTTTAAGTTTTATAATCTTAGATTGAGATTGATGAGGAATGCAATTTAAGAAAAGAATGTTACTTGTGTAGAGTTGGTGCTGTGGTGGCTAAGTATGGTGACAAAAGTGTATACTTTGATTTAGAAGATTTGGGTAACACAACAGGACAATGGGATTTGTATGGATCTGATGCTCCTTCTCCTTACAACCCACTCCAGGTTTTAAAAAACCTCTAAATCCCTAAATCTATATGCTAATTACAAGCCTCCCTTTTTTATGTGATTATGTTCTTTGCTTTCTTGCAGAGCAAGTTCTTTGAGACATTTGCTGCTCCTTTCACAAAGAGAGGTTTGCTTCTCAAGTTCTTGATTCTTGGAGGAGGCTCTTTGCTTACTTATGTCAGTGCTTCTTCGACCGGCGATGTTCTTCCCATTAAGAGAGGTCCTCAAGAGAAGCCTAAGCTCGGTCCTCGCGGCAAGCTCTAAATTAGCTTTCTAAAAGTCAGAAACTTTCTTCCCAATTCTGTGAACCCTTTTCTTGATTCATGTATATTGTGTTCTGTAATTGCTTTGTAAGCTAGTGAATTGAGGATCAGTTATAATGAATCAATGAAATTTGCTTTTTTAAGTCTGCTACAAACACAATGGTGCTTTTTCATTTGAATCATGGAAATGCAACAAGCAAACCTACTTTTACAAGAAAAAAAGAATCTGATTTTCTTCAGGAGTATCTCGCGGTTGGACTCCTCATAGTTCCAAGAGTTTCAAGATAAGAACTCTTCTTGTTGTTTGTCATAATACCTGTGACTTTTGACAACAATGGTTTGTCTCCATAAAAGCTTTCTTTCTTCAATTCATTGTTTTTGTTACCCCATTGCATAACATCAGAAAGTGTTCCTGAAGCCATGTCCTCTGAGAAACTAGATCTTTCCTCCCTCACTTTCTCAGCCTCTCTCATAGCATATCTATTCTTAGAAACTGCATTTGTAGGTTCTTGAGTAAGTTGATCAGCGTAAAGCACGTCTTCTATTTTCGACATCACCGTGTGAGCCAAACTCTCAAGCACTCTTGAGTAACTCTCCAATATAGCAAGTCCTACATCCTGCAACAACCAAAAACCCAAATAAGGTTTTTATCAAGGCCAAAACAGAAACACAATCAAAACGTATTTGGAGCTTGAATTACTCTGTTGAACTGAATCTTGCTGATATCAAGCGCGGATTGAGAGATTCCAGGAAACCCTTGTTTCAAAAGAAGCAAGATTGTTTCAGCTCTTTCTTCAAATTGTTCTCTTTTCTCAATACTCACTGTTGATCCCCAAGGAGATTTTGTGTCTTTCTGCACCATTTTTCTCTTCCATATCACAACTGATGCTTCGATTCTGTTCTTTAGATCAAGAATCTTGTGCTCAGATGATAAATCCATTTCAATAAGGAACTGATCTGCATCAAACATCTCTACTGTTATCATTCTGTATATCACATCTCCCAAGCTAGCTCTCCCATTCTGTTCTCAATAAAAGAAGAAAGAAACATCGATAAGGAAGAGATCATAACAGATTCTTGATGATATGTTTATGTGTTGACTAAATAACCTTAGGAAGTGATTCCAGGTAGCTTTCAGGAATCTCCATTTCAGACAGAACTTGAGCGTTTATGGCCATTGCAGCTTTAAGGACTTGATTCACACATTCCTTCTGGCTCTGCAGGAACCTTCTCGATATCTCGGAAAGGCCATTAGGTGGGACTTTGACCGCTGGTAACCACCATTTCTCATCGTTCCTTGTCTCGGAAGAATCAGGAGAATCTTTTTTGACATAAAAAAACTCGTTCTGATCCTTGAATTTATCAAGACAATCCTGCAAGAACATAGAATGTATAAATTTTTGGAGAATCATTGTAAAATGAGAGATTATCTTAGTCATTGTGTTGTTGTTGTTGTTCTTACGAGGAGCATTGCGTCGAGTTTCTTAAGTGCAGGGATGTTACAGAGAAGATCTGTTCTCTGTCTTGTTGTCATGACTTCCATTGAAGATCCATCTTTGTTGGTTTGTTGCGTTGGAGCAAATTCAACTATATGATCAGCCACAGAGATAAGCCATCCGATTTCTCTCCTCCATCGCGCTTTTCTATCCGCCGCCATTGGCTCTAAACGCCGTTGTTCTCCAAACGCAGACGCTGTGTATAAGAAACAAAGAGCTTTACATCCTCACTCTATGAGAATTTATGAGAAAAATAAGGAAGATTTTCAAAAAGTAATTACCTGCGAGATTGGTAATGGCGTTAGATAAAGCCAAAGCTGAAGAAACACCTTTCCCTCCTCCTGACATATCTTCTCCAAGAAGCAATTTCGAAAACCTTTCTTTCATTTGCTCCATCGCTGTAATACCGAAGACAGAAACTCTGATTCTTTTGCCCTAACTTGCAACCTAAGAAACCTAGAAGATATGAATATATTCATTAGATTTTTACCAGCTTGTAACTGTGCCTCCATGGATTCCGATGAAACCATCCTCGGATTGACCAGCTTGTCGTTGCGGTTTGGTGTTACGCCGCTTAGAGGCAAAGACGGTCGGTCAACGCCGCTGGCTTTCCCGGGTTGACTTCTGAACGTCAGCATGTCATTGTCATCATCATCATCAAAATTGTCATCCATTCTCATGGCGCAATCTGAGCTCCAGCTTTTGACATGTCTTGAAGCTGAGTTTTCATTCATGTTCTTGAAATGAAACAATCTTGATTTGTAGCTCTCTTGTTCTTGCTCCATTGCTTTTACCATTCCTAATCAAAATAATAATTTAAAAAATAAAGAAATGAGAAAGATTTTTGTATTCTGAAATTTCTTTTTAATCTCTCTATTTTCTTAATCCTGTAATAAAGAGAAGTTTTAGGGGATATTGGAGAAAACAGAATTTAACTAACCAAAAACGGTGTTTGATTTTCAGACTTAGCAAATACAGAACACCATTGTTTGACTTCTGTTAATGGTTTTAAATTTTTTCTTAAAACCTGATTTAATTTAGTAACTATTATGATTCGTTGTCCATAACCATAAACAATTGAAATTGGTCAGATTCTTCAGGAAAAAAAGGATTATTTCTTTTTTGTGGAATGTTTTACTATTATAAGTATGTGCTTGGTGGAATGTGGGGTGCACGTTATTAGAACTTTAATTTCTCAGATATACTTTTCTAAAACCAAATCTTAAGTCATCAAGGAGGACATGTTACAAACCCTTATCCGTAGTTATTATTATTTTTATTTCTTGTTGCAAAAAAGAAAGGTAGAATCTATTTAGGAACATGGGTGATATTTTTTGTGGAAATTGGTCAGATTCTTCAGGAAAACAAAAAACCAAATGGTTACTACCGTAAATTTTAAAATTTGCTAATTATGGATTAGTCTAATAAAGTCTCTCTACTGTATGGGTGGACATTCTCTTTGAATACTCAATAGAATGAGAATATGTAAAAATCTTGTACACAGTGTCGTGCCTAACCTTAGAGAGATCTAAAACAAATTATAAAATTTATCATTATTTTATTTTGTTTATTTTGAAACTTTATTTATAGTTAATATATTGTTAATATAATTATAGTTTTTATCAAACAAAATGTAATTTTAAATATTATAACACATTTTTTCAAGTTGTCTATATATATATATATATATATATATATCTTTTTACTATACATAACAAATAAAATCAAGTATTTTACATATTTTGATAAAGTTATAAAAATTGTGGCCCTTAAAACTAAAAATAAATTTAGTGGCCTAAAGCAAATGCTTTTTTTTTATACATATAAGCACGGCTCTGCTTGTACATTACACTTTTATTGATCACAAAAGCCAACACAAGCATAGAAATGAAATTCTCCAACATCTTCATTGAAATCAATTTCCCATCTTGGGTCTATTTACAGACCTAGATTCAAACAAAGCTCTAAAGGGCCATTTTCACAGATTTTCTTATTTCTTATTAAGGAGTAGAAGCGCCTTTGAAGATTAGGAACTTAAGTGTCTCCAACTGAAAATAGATGAAAGTCCCTTTAGAATGTGTGAAGAAACACCCAAAATTTGATCCCACCACACATTGCCATCCACTCCCATATCTCTCATCAAACTCCTGAATTAAGCAAAATACAAACAAGATTAACCAAGTAATTATAAATGATGATGATGATGATGATAAAAAAAAAATTGGACCGAAAAATAATATAAAACTCGAAGCACGTTTTAACACTTAAAATATCTACAATGCTCAACTACGACTGAAATCCAAATGAAATGGAAAAAAAAAACAACTGGAATTCTAGGCTCTCGAAATGATTATAACCATAAATTACCGTGAATTGGTCAGGATGTAATATGTAACTAAGAGTAAAAATATAAGTATTTAGTAAACCCTTTCTCAAAAAAAAAAAAATGTAAGTATCTATGACTCTGAAAAAGAATTGAAGAAAAAAGTACCTTCTTGATGTGACCAGCAATGGATTTACAGTCAATGACATCAAAGAGATCAAGAGCTTGAGAAGCAAAAGCCATGGCTTGAATCTGCATCTTCACTGGCATATCTGAATCTTCCACCATTGCTTTTCCTTCCAACATCTTCTCAATCTCTATCTCTTTCTCTCAAAAACTCAAAATAAAAACGTTTCTTGTTTTTTTCAGAATTCTGTAGAGAAAACAGACAAGGAAACGTTTGGATCTTTATACACACCAAAAGACACAAATTAAGAAGATTCCCTTAAAAAATATAATCTTTTCAAGAAAAAACCCATACGAAGATAAAAAATGTCTCCTCTTTTTTTTTTAAATATATTCTTTTCGACAGGTTGGGAAAATCTGGGAAAATGTGCCAAACCTTTTTTTCTTTATAGTTTTTTTCTTCACTGAGTATAAAAATGCTTCCTCACGGGTTCTTGGATATAATACAATACTTATCCTGAAAACAATGGCACGAACACAAAATACTCGTTTGTGTTCTTTAATGGTGAAGTCAGGAATTGGTTTTAAGCTGATAATGACGAAGCTGAAAAACGGCAAAAAAGTTGATAATTTCAAGATTAAAAAAAAAAAGAAGACAGTAAGAAAATGTTTTTTTTTAGGTGTAGTGACTCGTTTTGAGTAATATGTCTCTCTATATCTCCCTTACGTGGCTCCATGTCTTTTGTCTTTGACCTTTAATGGATAACGATGGAGAGGTGCATAACTAATTAGTTAAATAATACACATGTGATAATAAAAAAATGTGATTAGCAAAGAGCTAGCTTCCACAAAATTCGTAAAAAATGTCGGTGTGACCGTTGGGAACTATAAGCCCATTTAGAAGCTACAGGCCCAGTTCTCTGATGAAGTATCACAAACTTAAGCAACCTCAAAATTTATAATGCAAATGATGAATTTTTTTTCTTATGGCTTGAAAGCAAAACTCATATTTTTAATCAACGAAATTTCATATGAACAAAAATTATGAATTTCTGATCATTATTAGTTTTCTTAATTTGAATTTCCCAAAAGCAGAGTTCTATCTATACATTTATATCGTTTCCGAAATCAAAACTTCAATTTGTTATCTTAGAATCTGTTAGTCAAAAAAAAAAAAATTGCCAATGAATTTGGTTACTCGTTAATATTTTATCAAAAGCGACAATATTGTTATTGTCATTTTCTTTTGACTAACATATATATATATACACATGTGACATATGTCAATTCTCGTACCTCCCGCCGTAAATCCTGGTGAGATTTCATTTGACAACGATCGCTTCTCCGATCAATCACCGTTCATAACTCCGACGAGAAAAAAAAAAACCAAAATCACAATGTCGATGAATCGAAAACCCAGTTCTAAATCCTCAATCTTCACCTTCATTCTCCTCTTGCTCCTCAGCTTCCAACTCATCTCTGCTTATTCATCCTCCGACGCCAATGTCGAATCAAACGAACCCGGATCCGGTGAAGAATCCGACGATCTGGAACAGCTCCTAGCAGTAGACGAGCAATTACAAGAAGATCGTCCTGAGCAACAATCGGAAGCCGAAACAGTGAGCAAGGCGCAGAGGATCGTACTAGAGCTCAGCGGCGACAACACGAAGCGAGTCATCGACGGTAACGAGTTCGTCATGGTTCTAGGTTACGCGCCTTGGTGCGCGAGAAGCGCGGATTTGATGCCGCGATTCGCGGAGGCTGCGACGGCTTTGAAAGAGATTGGTAGTCCGATTTTGATGGCTAAGATCGACGGAGATAGGTACACGAAGGTCGCGTCGGAGCTCGAAATCAAGGGTTTCCCTACGCTTCTCCTCTTCGTTAACGGCACTTCTCAGCCTTACACCGGTGGATTTTCAGCGTAAGTTATCCAAATTTTGGCTTCTTCGTTGTCAATTTTGACGAAATGTGATTCAAGTTCAATGTCTGAGGTTCAAATCTGGCTCGTATGAGCAAGTTCTGATTTTGGTTTCAAGTAGAATCGATTTTTGATTTGGTTGTTTATGGTATTTATGAGAGATTTTTGGGTCAATGTGTTCTTCTGTTCAGAGAGGATATAGTCATCTGGGTGCAAAAGAAGAGTGGTGCACCCATCATTACAGTTAATACAGTTGATGAAGCTCAGAGATTTCTCAAGAAGTATCATACTTTTGTTGTTGGTCTGTTCAACAAGTTTGAGGTATTTGGATATCGAAACTCTAGATTTTTAAGCCCTGGAAATGACTATATTTGTAAATGATGTAGACTAGCTTTGGAATGTAATCGTTGATATGTTTTTTGTTTGCTTAGGGTTCTGAATATAACGAATTCGTTAAAGCCGCAAAATCAGACGACGAAATCCAGTTTGTAGAAACAAGCAACAGCGATGTTGCGAAACTTCTCTTTCCTGACCTCAAAACCAACAATGTGTTTATTGGCATGGTTAAAACTGAAGCTGAAAGGTACACTGCATATGGTAAGCTTGCTGCTAATTTTTGAAGAGCTCCCTTGTTATTATCATATATTTTTCCTCATATTTTATATCGTGACAAGTGGTAACATGGGTCTGCATCATAATTCGTGACAGATGGATCTTACAAAATGGACAAGATATTGGAATTTCTAGGAAGCAACAAGTTTCCGTTGATTACAAGATTGACTGAGAGCAATACTGTTTGGGTTTACTCCAGTCCTGTTAAGCTTCAGGTTAGAAGTTTTTTGTGATTTCAGTTTTGAGGCTCTCTCTGTTTGCTTGCAGTTGTGCGTTAACTGTAATTCTGTTTTTCTTTTCTTCACTTGGTTAGGTTATGGTCTTCGCCAAGGCTGATGAATTTCAGAATCTGGCTCAGCCTCTTGAAGATCTTGCAAGAAAGTTTAAATCAAAGGTATTTCCAGACGCTGAATTTTAAAGGACAGATAGATTTAGTTCTTTAGATTCTCTCTAAATATATATATTAATTTTCTTGCAGCTTATGTTCATAAATGTTGATAAAACAAATGAGAACCTTGCGATGCCATTCTTGACCTTATTCGGAATAGAGGATGCGAATAAAACTGTTGTAAGTTCCTAAGACTTGTTTCCATCTGCGTGATTGACACTTTGCTATCTACTGATAATAAAGCTACAAGCCTACAAGCCATTGTGGATTAATCTATAGTTCTTCAACAGGTTGCTGCTTTTGATAACAACCTGAACTCCAAGTATTTGCTGGAATCAGATCCATCACCAAGCAATATAGAAGTACAAAATTCTTTATCTTTTTTTATCTTATTTCCTTTCATATATTCATATAGTAGCTAATTCATGTGATCTCTATTGGATTTGCAATGTAGGATTTTTGTTCAGGACTTGCGGATGGAACCGTTTCGCGTTACTATAGGTCAGAACCAGTTCCAGATAATGTGAGTATGAAACATATAATCCTCTCTTGATGTTCTTTTGGGGATATTATTGAGACCGAAGAGACTAAGAACATATACAAGCTAACTAATAACCTGATGAAATCTGCAGAAAAATGCAACCGTAGTGACTGTAGTAGGAAAGACTTTTGATGAGTTGGTATTAAACAGCCGCGAGAATGTTCTTCTTGAGGTTAGAAAATTCGAATAACCTCTCTGCTATACTCAACTTCTTTTTTTATTAACTGAAACCGACACTAAAAACATGGATCTTGTGGGGGAAACTGAAAACAGGTGCATACACCGTGGTGTGTGAACTGCGAGGCACTGAGCAAGCAAGTCCAGAAGTTGGCTAAGCATTTCAAAGGCTTTGAGAATCTTGTTTTTGCAAGAATTGATGCATCTGCAAATGAGCATGCTAGCCTACAGGTGAATTGAATCTTACCTGCAACAAACATTGCCAATTTCCAAAACACAAGCTAAACTTATTGAGTGTTATTGACAGGTTGATGATGAATATCCGATGATCTTGCTCTACAAATCTGGTGAAAAGGAGAAACCGGTAAAAACCATTTTGATAATAGGGATCACTAGCTCAGGCCCTTTTAACTTGATTACTTGTGCTTTTCCACATTCTTATGCTTCCTTTGTACCTTCTTACCAAATTTCTATCTTAACCGGTTTCTTTGCAGTTAAAGCTATCAACTAAATTGAGCGCCAAGGATATGGCTGTTTTCATCAACGAAGAGTTGAAACCAAAGGATGTGTCTGCTAAAGATGAATTGTAGTCAAGTTTGAGTAAATGTAGACAGACATAAGAAACAGAGAGAGATTTATATAAATGACCATTTTTGTGACATTACATGATTGTGATTTTGATATCGTTGTGGAACCGAAAGAAAAGGAACCGAATTCGTTAGAATCTGTATTTCAATGAACTGAAATTACATTTCTGCAAGTTTTAATATTATATGGTACAAAAAATCAAATTTGCCAAACAAAACAAAATATTGGTACCCTCTGCAATAAACTTCTCCTTGATTAGCATTCACACCCTGTTGATCTTTGTTGGTGACCCCCTGCAACATCAATGGTGTCGGGCATGTACCTGCGAGGTATCAGAGGGAAAAAGATCGAGACAAGACTAGTACAAAAACATCAAGTGATGCAAATTAGATGGATAGAGACAAATGTGCTTACGGTTCTTCTTCAGGTTCATTCTTGAATGCATTTTTGGTTATGCATTCAAAAGCCGCATCAACATTGAATCCTTCTTTTGCGGAAGTCTCAAAGTAAGGAATGTTTCCTTTAGACGCACACCAAGCTTTTGCTTTCTTCTCAGAGACCTGACAATATGGGATAACTTTAGCATATAAGCAAACTCTCTACATACTTGAGTAAACAAAGATGAAGAAACAAACGTCTCACCACTCGGCTTTTGCCACCATCAACATCGGTCTTGTTCCCCAATACGACAAACGGGAAGTTTTCAGGATCTGATGGACTGGCCTAAACAAGACGATGAAACATTTTGGATTATAGCAATAAATACCCTTAAGTTATAGAATGCATATTATTATGGTAGATAGGAGTTTATTACCTGAATCAAGAACTCTTCCCTCCAGTTATTAAGATTATCAAAAGATTTCATAACATTGACATCGTACACAAGAACACAACAATCCGCTCCTCGGTAAAAAGCTACTCCCAAACTTTGGAATCTTTCTTGCCCAGCAGTATCCCAAATCTGTATGGATTAATACATCCCAGTTTTGTAATAATAGTAATTTAGTTGTATAAATCTCGATAGACAACAAACAAACACCGTGTTTTTCTAAAGGAACAAACAGTAGGAGCATCAAATTGGTACCCACAAAGCAAGATTCTAACTTTTTCTCTGCTTTATATATAGACCCAAAAAGTAAGGAACCCAAGATCCGGTAAAGAATATTCCAAGAATCATATAATGCAAAACTATAGTCATGTTTGATTCATTCAAACAATAAAACAGAGCACAGATTACCTGTAAAGTGAAAATCCTGTCATCAATTTGAACCTCTTTAGTCAAGAAATCAGCTCCAATCGTTGCTTTATACTGATTACTAAATTTACGATTCACAAACCTAACACGGAATAAAAAAAACGAATTTCAAATAAAATTTAAAACATAATATCATCATCAAAGTTACAAGTAAATGAAGCATAGTATAGATCTGAGTTTCAGAAACGTACTGATTCATTAACGAAGTTTTCCCAACCCTGGCCAAATAACAAAACAAAGGATCAAAATTTCAATCAATGGACATATAAAATCACATCACATCGAAATGAAAAGAAAAAAAAAAAAGATGAGAAAAATTCGTTATTTCGATATTGGGACGAAGATCGACGAGATGAGAAAATTACCCGCTATCTCCGAGAATGATAACCTTCAGGAGAACTCTCCGGCGAGAAGACATTGATGGAAAACGTTTTGGGATGAGCTGATTTGATTTTTCTTTTCAGCGAAGAAAGTGTCTCTGTTTTTTTTCTCTCTCTGCTTCTTCGTGTGATTCAGGTGGAGAGAAAGCGAGATTACAGAAGAGAAAGAAAAAATCAAGTATATTCGCTAAATAACAGCAAGGTCTCTCTCTATTTTGAAATCTTCTAATTTCCAAACATGCCCCGTCTTTAGTTTATCATTAACTAATCTTAATATAAAAATTTAAAAGGAAACAATACGAATGAAATCTTCACACGGTCTAATGGGTCCAATTATTTCAACTTTTTCCAAATACCAAATGTTGTTCAAGTACTATTGACTAATGTGTTCCTTCACAACCACTCTTTAAGAAGAAGAAAAAATTAATCAAGAATAAAATATGATCAATATGCAAAAGAGTCTTTTAGGTGGACTATAATATGAGATTTAATTAGCAAAATGACAATAGGGCTACTTTAAATATCTCTTAAACTTAAATATCTTCACACCAAAGCCGGAAAAATAAAATTGTTCACTACTCTCCAACACAACAATCACGTGCAAGATCAGGCCCCATGAGAGTTTTAATTAGAGGCCACACCTTGAAAACGAAGTGAAAGTTCGTGTAATGAAAAAATCTGTTTACACCTACCTACCCCAAAATGTTGGGACTTTTGTTACCAAGAATCCTCTGTTTTAACATGTTGTCTCGTTGGTTTTCTTCTCCGGTTCGATTTCTTGCGTTGTTGTACGTTGGCCTTCGGTGATGCTAGAGGAAGAGCCTGATGGGTTCTGACCATTGTCGCTTGTGGTCAAACCGCTACATTCGCTGCTACCAAATGTCTGGCTTTCGAGTGCCATTCTCTTGAATTTCTTCAAGTCTTCTTTATATTGTGTTGAGCTATAATCCGAGCTCCCGTCTAAGCTGTAAATAGTACTGTGACCTGGAGTCACTCCTTCTGTCAGGTCATCTAGAGATATATTGCCTTCAAATGCTCGAACAATCTGCAATTTTTCCAAAGAGAAAAGCTCAAAGTTAAGATTTTTTTATGTTAGTGGGAGGTGAAATGTTGCCAAAAGGCTTCAACTTGATAGTACCTGGCTCATTTTTGGGCGGCGTTTTGCTGAATGGCGGACACTAGCAGCAGCGCAAGCAACCATACTCGTCATTTCGCTGATATCAAAGTTATCCTCTAATCTTGGATCAACAAGACCGTTAAAGTTTCCATCGTTTAGAGCTTGTATCATCAGAGGTTTCGCCTATAGAGCATGAGGAAAAGTTAATAAAGCTTATGATTTTGATGATGCTAAGGGAAAACAAAAGGTACAAACCCAATCAACGATGCTATCATCATCCGCAAAAGGCTGTGATTTATCAACAGGACGGCGTCCAGTTATCAACTCAAGAAGCACCACTCCAAATGAGAAGACATCTGATTTATCAGTGAGTTTTCCAGAGGAAGCATATTCAGGAGCTAAGTAACTGAATCCAGATAATATCACAAGAAACAAGTCAAGAGACTGTTAGTTGTTTATCGTTGACGTTTGTCTATAGAAAGAACGTTTCGTACCCAAAGGTTCCCATTATTTCGGGTGGAAACATGTGTATCAGTGTCTAAAGGAAGACCTGGCGAGTCCAAAATCTGCTAACTGATCAACCAGATTCAACATCATTAGCAATGCAGTTGAAATAAATATTCTAGATTGTAACAAGTTTTAGAATACCTTTGCCTCGTAGCTATCATCAATAAGAATATTTGCAGCCTTTACATCGCGGTGTATTGTTTTAGGGTTACCTGAATCAATCAAACAAGAAGATAACTCTTTCACACCAACAGCAGAAAAAAAAAACTTATACAACCTAAAGACAAGATCTTTACTTACAATCTTCATGCAAGTATGAGAGTCCTTTAGCTGCACCCAAAGCAATCTTCATCCTCTTTGGCCACTCCATCACCAGTCTCCCTTTCTCTGCAAATATGTACCACAGTTTAAAGGAAACTGAAAGTTCTCACAAACCATTACTAATCGCAAAGGAAGTACAAAACTCACCATGCAAATGAAACTCCAGAGTCTTATTAGGCACAAACTCATAAACAAGCAGTCTTTGAGATCCGGTTATGCAGTAACCAAGGAGTGAAACAAGATGCCTATGATGAACTCTACTAATGGTTTGTATCTCCGCCTGAAACTCGCGTTCTCCTTGTCCGCTTCCAGCTTTAAGCTGCTTAATCGCAACCTCTGTTCCATCGGGAAGAACTCCTTTATGAACATAACCAAACCCACCTTGTCCAATCAGGTTGGTGCTGGAGAAGTTATCAGTTGCCTTAGCCAAGTCTTGATAAGTAAACAAGTTGTGTGCAATGTCTGAGTTGCTGCTACTTTGTTTCCACTGCTCAAGACTATTAGCATTATCTACAAAAGAATCAGAAGCAATCAAATTTCATGGCTTTCACAAATTTTACATATAACCAAATCAACCATAAATCCAAATCCATGACACTCGAATCAAATACAACAAGAATCTAGAAATGGAAGCTTGATCTGGAAACTGAACAGAACAAATCAACTGTTTTGTTTTAAGGATAAAAACAAAGGAATCGAATATTTAAAGAAGTAATAGTACTAATTATAAAAATTGAAAATTTCGGAATAAAGAAACCCTAAATTTCCGGGATTGGTCTAGAAAATTACCTAATTTAGGATCAGAAGAAGAAGAAGCTAATAACTCTCCATTAATAGCAGTAGCTGCTTCAGTATCTCTTCTCTTCAACTTCCTCTTCTTCCTTTTATAGAAACAGACGAAAACGCAGACTCCGATTAGAACAACCGTTGCTCCGAGAACGACTCCGGTGATTAGCCCAGCTAACGCTACTCTCCCCAAGCCTCCTCCGTCGTTTAATCTCACCGCCGGTAACGGAGGCGTCGAATCAGGACCGAAGATGGAAGGCGGCGACGGAGAAGACGAAGTCGTCGTCGTGTTTGATTTGGTGAAGGGAAACTCCGGCTCCGGTGGATTTGCGACGGAGGGGATAGTGTTGTTCGACGGCGACGACGACATTAAATCAGATGATGATGATTAGTGACACGCGCGTGTTCGCAGACTTTTCACATGGCGGAAGGGAGAGAAGAGGAGGAGGAAAAATACGAAGAATGAAGGGTCATGTGGTAGGTCCCACTAGAGATATTCTTCTTCTGCCAGTGTCTAATTCTCTGGTCGTCACTCTCTGTTTCGATGTCACAAATTTCAAATTTTTTTTGCACTCTATCAAATGTTTAGCAATATTTTCAAAAATTCTTTTAATGAATAATCTTTCAGAAGTTTATATACTTAACTTAACAGTTAATATTTTTATCGTGAATTTACTGACATTCAATTTGTACTGTATTTGAACAAACAAGAATATGGACATTGTCTGCCTTTATTTGTCTTGTTTGTTTACTTTTTATTTGCTTGTAAATGAAAAGTAAAAATCAAGTGACAAATGCAGTGAATGCACATACCATCAATTTCAGAATTATTGAAGTCTTTAATCTTTGATCAACTAATCGTCAATATTTTCAACTTTTGATCATGACATATTTATTCTCCTTCTATTTGTAGTTTGTTGGATAACTTTCTCTACGCGGTAACCAGAGCAATACACAGTTCTTAAAATAATAAGTTATTAACCAATCATTTATTATATAAAAAAATTATTAACCAATCGTGCTCCAAAGTTTACTTTTGTTATGAATGCAAAAAATCAATTTAGGTGATGGGAAATGCAGTTATGGACGAAAGATATTGAATGCAATAGTCAATGGAAGCGATTAGCAGATGCCACATAGTATTAACTAAATATTTGATAGAAGGAAGATACAATTTAAATATTTTTCATGAAAAATAAGTACTCGTGAAATTAAAGGAAAATTCGAACTCATTCAACATTTTTTGTTTTTATTTTGCAGTAATAGCTGAAATTTCTCATAACCGACATTAGAACCGGGTGAACCGGTCTAAAGAAGCAGGGAATAGCCTTGGGAGTTGGGACCTTCACGATAAATGCCAAAAAAATTACTAATCGAATAATCGATACCGTGTTACAAAATCATTTTTCTATATATAACATGAAGGGCATAAAAACAACCAATACAACTAACAAAATGGACGAATATGGTATATAGTGTGAGGATCTGGTTCATGATTTAGGTCGGTCTGGTTGAATCGAGCTGGTTAAGCGATAACCGAGCTGTGCTGTGATGGGCTTATGTCCAAGTATTAGAGCTGAAGACTTGAAGAACAAATTGAGCCTCGTGAATTTGGTGCTGGCCCAGCCCCTTGATGAGATCGTTTTAAAAAGAGAGAAGAAACTCAACAAACTCTAACGTTCGAGTCTTTTTCTTCCTTTTTGACTTCTATTTTTCAATCTTATCTCTTGTAACAAACTCTTCGAGACTTCTCTCTACAAGTTCAAATAGTGGATTATCTAAGTTCCGTTCCTGAAGAGAGATGTACCCAAGGTTTTTGGGGAACTCTATACTTTGCCCGTGTTGATCTATTTTCTTTCTGCAATTGGCTACGAGAAACCGAGAGAGTGAGAACAAAGAGAAAGCGATTAGATCGCAGAGAGTTGCGTTCGTATCGGTAACAAGTGGTATCAGAGCGTCAGGTTCGCAGACACTCAAGGATACAAAGGCGACTCAAGGATCAAATCGGAGTCCAAAAGGATTGAAGGAAGAGACGATCGCAAGCTTCACGAACCATCGGTGAAGAAAGAAGACGATCTCAGAGTGAGATCAAAGATCTACGAGTTCGAGCCAAGAACTCAGGGAAGTATCTCAAAACCTCTGTTTCTTTAAAGGTCTCTTAGATCTAGAATTCCGGAAGAAATCTCATACTGTGGAATTTGTCTCGGATTGGTAGAACGTATCTGGAATCTTGATATCGATAGATAGTGTACGTGGATCTTGTACTGGTTTGGTTGGTTTGCTCTTGTAGTGTCAGGTTATACACTTACAGGTCCGAGATCAATCATGGAACCAACACAGGGTAAATTCGAGATGGAAAAGTTCGATGGAAAAGGAGATTTTGGCATGTGGAAATACAGGATGTTGGGACAGCTTGAGATTCAAGGTTTGGGATCTGTGTTACAGGAGCATACCAAGTCTGAAATGGTTACGGATGAAAAGGGAACTGTTGTTGAACCAAAAGTGGATCCGAAAGCAGCTGAGAAGGATCTGCGGGTGAGGAATCTTTTGGGGACGTGTTTGACAGATCAGATTCTGAGAAAGATATTTCATGAACCTACAGCGTTGGGCATGTGGAAGGCTTTGGAAGCTGATTATCAGACTAAATCATTACCAAATCGGATTTATCTCAAGCAGAGTTTTGCCAGTTTCAAGATGGATGGAAACAACTCTATGGAAGACAATGTGGATAAATTCTTGAAGCTGATACAGGACCTTTCAAGCTTAAAAATCACAATAAGTGACGAGGATCAAGCGATACAACTTCTAACAAGTCTTCCACCAGAGTATGAGCCATTGGTCCATACTCTCAAATATGGAACAGGAAAGGAGTCCTTAACTGTTAAGGACGTGGTTGCTTCAGCTTATGCTAAAGAAGCCGAGTTAAGGCAGAAGGGTCAGCTAACAAGGTCAAAAGGAAACTCAGAAGGGCTGTATGTTGATTCAAAGAAGAAGGTAGAACCAAAGCATGATCACAAGAACAGCAAGAAGCAGAATAAGAGTAAAGGGAAAGATAAGTCCAAAGGGAAGAACAAATTTGGACCGAAGGCTTGCTGGATTTGTGGTGATGAGAATCACTGGAAGAAGGATTGCCCTAAACGGAACAAGACCGAGAACTCAGCTAACCTTGCTGTCAATCTACAAGAACCAATAGCTTTGACAACTAGCTTACATGACTCGAAGGATGAGTGGGTCTTAGACTTAGGATGTACATTCCATATTACTCCAAGAAGGGAGTTACTATCAGATTTTAAGGAATGTGAAGAAAGTAAGGTGCTTATGGGGAATAATACGCACTGTATGGTCAAAGGCATGGGAAATGTAACAGTTGAGAATCCGGATGGCACTATCGTTACGTTAAGTAAGGTCAGATACATGCCTGACATGGGAACAAATCTCATATCGTATGGTCAACTTGAACAGTCGGGGTGCAAGTATAAGGGTGAAGACTTTGAGGTGGTATTCTACAAGGGAGATAAGAAGGTGTTAACAGGAAAGTATGAGCAAGGTTTATACTATCCTCAAGGGAAAATCAGGGGGCCAGAAACAAATTCAGCTAAAGCCATAGAAGACTCAACAAAGAAATGGCATTCCAGATTGGCTCATATGGGACAGTCGTCTATGGATACTTTAGTCAGAAAGGGCTACCTGAAAAAAGAAGAGGTATCAAAATTAGGATTTTGTGAAGCATGTACGATGGGTAAATCTCACAAGCAAAGCTTCCCGAAGGCCAAACACATCACAAAGGAGATTCTAGACTATGTCCACTCAGATTTGTGGGGCTCATCAACAGTTACACCGAGCTTGTCTGGAAACCAATACTTCATGACGTTCATAGATGATTTCTCTAAGAAAGTCTGGATATACTTTCTCAAGACGAAGAATGAGGCCTTCCAAAAGTTTGCTGACTGGAAGATTTTGGTTGAAAACCAAACTGGGAAGAAACTAAAGTGCTTAAGGACCGAAATGGATTAGAATTTTGCAATAGACAGTTTGATGAGTTGTGCAGAGAAACTCGTGTTAAGAGACACAAGACCTGTCCCTATACACCACAGCAAAACGGTATTTCCGAGAGGATGAATCAGACTATAATGGACAGAGTAAGAAGTATGCTCTAGGAAACCGGTTTAAAGGGCGAGTTTTGGGCTGAGGCAGCATCTACTGCAGTCTACATAATCAACAGATCACCAGCAGCATCTATTGGTTTTGAGGTTCCAGAAGCGTTATGGACTGGGGGAAAGCCGGAGTATGATCATCTAAAAAGGTTTGACTGCATGGCATATGTTCATACTGTGCAGGAAAAGATCAGTCCGAGGGCTCGCAAAGGTATCTTTGTTGGATATGCCCAGGGAACAAAAGGATACCGAGTTTGGCTTCTGGAAGAACAGAAGATTAACATCAGTAAAGATGTTGTATTTGATGAAGAAAGGGTCTTTAAGGATTTGAACTTGGAGAAAGAAGATAAGATGGAACAAACAGTTGCTCAGAAAGTGAGGGTTTTATCTTCGACAAGTACAACAGATGTTGGGACTTCAGGGGAAGGTTCAAATCAAGGTGGAGCTGATCCAGACTTTGAAGTAACAGGAGAAGAATCAGATACATCTGAGGAAAATGATGGGAATGATTCTCAAGAAGCTGAACTGTTACTACAGAAAATCTGGACAATTACGTTCTTGTTAGAGATCGGGTAAGAAGGGAGATAAGACCGCCATCAAGATTTGAAGGGGCTGACTTCGTGGCTTATGCTTTGGCTGCCTCAGACACAATTAACATAGATGAGCCCAAAACATACAGGGAAGCAAAAGGTAGCAAGCATAATGATTTATGAGACTCAGCCATGGACGAGGAGATGGACTCGTTAAACATAAATCACACTTGGGATCTAGCTGACTAACCAGAGAAGCAGAAGGTTATAGGTTGCAAATGGATCTACAAGCTCAAACCAGGCATACCTGGGGTGGAGAATCCAAGATACAAAGCACGACTTGTTGCAAAGGGCTATGCACAAGTCGAAGGTGTTGATTACAATGAGGTTTTTGCTCCTGTTGTAAAGCATGTCTCGATCAGGCTCATTTTGTCAATGGTCTCCCATCTAGACATGGAACTGGAGTAGCTCGACGTAAAGACGGCGTTTCTTCATGGTGTGTTACAGGAGAAGATCTATATGAGCCAACCGGAGGGCTATGTTCAGAAGGGATCTGAGGACAAAGTATGTTTGCTAAAGAAGTCTCTTTACGGCTTGAAACAGTCGCCGAGAGAATGGAACTACAGGTTTGATACCTTCATGCTCAAGAACAAATACAAGAAGAGTGAGTATGATCCATGTGTGTATCTTAGAGGTTCAACGGTTGAAGACATGGTTTATTTGCTGCTATACGTAGACGATATGTTGATAGCATCAAAGGACGTGAGTGTTGTAAACAAGTTGAAGAAAACTCTCAGTGAAGAGTTTGAGATGAAGGACTTGGGACCAGCTAGGAGGATACTAGGGATATACATATTTAGAGACAGATCTAAAGGAGTTTTGATCTTGTCTCAAGAAGGGTAACTGAATCAAGTTCTGAAGACGTTTGGAATGTGGGATTGTAAGCCAGTGTCAACTCCTATGGGTCCACAATTTAAATTCCAGAGCCTTACGGAAAAAGAGGTTTTGGATCAAGCTAGAGAGATGGACCAAATTCCCTACGCAAGTGCAGTAGGTAGTCTGATGTACGCTATGGTGGGATCACGGCCTGATCTTGCTTATTCAGTCGGTTTGGTGAGTAGGTTTATGGGTACTCCAGGCAAAAGTCACTGGCGGGCAGTTCAGTGGATTATGAGATACTTAAAGGAGGCTGCAAAATTGTGTTTAACGTTCACTAAGGGGTCAGATTTCAAGGTTAGAGGCTACTGCGACTCTGATTACGCAGGAGACTTGGACAAGCGTAGATCAATTTCCGGATACGTTTTTACGGTTGGTGGAAACACGGTGAACTGGAGGTCGTGTCTACAGAAGGTTGTTGCTCTGTCAACCACTAAGGCAGAGTACATGTCCTTGTCAGAGGCAGTTAAAGAGGCGTTGTGGCTCAAGGGAATTTGTGAGGAGATGGGTTTCACTCAGGGAGCGGTTGAAGTGCACTGTGATTCCCAAAGTGCAATATGTCTGGCGAAGAATCACATGTTCAGTGAAAGGACGAAGTACGTTGCAACCAAATATCACTTTATAAGGGATATTATTGCTCAAGGAGATGTAAGTGTATTGAAGATTCACACATCGAAGAACCCTGCAGATATGTTAACCAAAGTTCTGCATGGGGGTTCTTTTGGAAGGTGTTTGGAAACTTTAAACATCACCGCCTGAGCGTGGTGGTGGCTGCGTCGTTTCTAGGAGGTCAAGAAATGACGCGAACTCAAGTCCGGTGGAGACTTGAAGATGATTCTGGTAATTCAGTTTCATATTTTTCTATCTCTGGTGACCAGGAGATTACAGATGTGAGGCTCAGGTTCTTATGAAGCTCACGGTGAGGTGCAAATGGTCGTGAAAACGAAGTTTTGTGCTATCAGGAATGGAACTCTATCAAGGTTTGACCGTTAAGGACAAGAGGAAATCAGAACCAAGGTGGAGATTTGTGAGGATCTGGTTCATGATTTAGGTCCGTCTGGTTGAATCGAGCTGGTTAAGCGATAACCGAGCTGTGCTGTGATGGGCTTATGTCCAAGTATCAGAGCTGAAGACTTGAAGAGCAAATTGGGCCTCGTGAATTTGGTGCTGGCCCAGCCCCTTGATGAGATCGTTTTAAAGAGAGAGAAGAAGCTCAACAAACTCTAACGTTCGAGTCTTCTTCTTCCTTTTTGACTTCTATTTTTCAATCTTATCTCTTGTAACAAACTCTTCGAGACTTCTCTCTACAAGCTTAAATAGTGGATTATCCAAGTTCCGTTCCTGAAGAGAGATGTACCCAAGGTTTTTGGCGAACTCTATATTTTGCCTGTGTTGATCTATTTTCTTTCTGCAATTGGCTACGAGAAACCGAGAGAGTGAGAACAAAGAGAGAGCGATTAGATCGGAGAGAGTTGCGTTCGTATCGATAACATATAGGCAGTAAATGCATCTTTTGATCTTCAATCTCAACTCTGTTTTACTTAACGTAATCAAAAACACGGATGTGGACGTTCGTGAATGTTTTGTATTTTTACATTAACAAGTTGCAAAGGAGCACTACAGTTCCTAAAACAGAAATTGCGAGTAATATTAAAATGTAAACTCTGATATTACGGATTTACGATTTAGAACAACGTCCCACAGAGTGGTCATAGAAAACTCATATAAGAGTTAAGGACCATTGTTGAGAAACAGCACTACGCTGAAGTTTTAATGGGTTTTACGGGGGTTTTTTTTTTAGAAAGGGTATTCAAATAAAATGCAGAAAATTAAAGGTACAACGCTATATTTGAATTCATACAATTTTTTAGAGTTAGTTGAGATAATGAATTAAGAAATAATGAGATAATGAGTAAGGAAATATTGAGATAATGACTTCTTGCACTTTACCAAACTTCTAAGAAATTTCTCGAACCAAAAGTAGATTTTACTAGTATGCAAACTAACCTGAACCACAAAAATGATTATAAAAAAACCAACCAATCTAAACCTTCGATTTGGTTACTAGTTTGCATAAACGGTATAACTAAAAAGTTGAAGAGGTTAAAGCCAAAAAGCAGATTGCGATGGTGGATATTGGTGTGTGATAGTCGTAAACGAAATACATAATGGAAATAAAAGACTTGCAGATTGAAGAGGAAACAGCAATATTATCCAAGTCCAAAATTTTATAAAAGAGTAATCAACACACCAAAAGGTAGTTTAAACCAGAAGCTTAATAGTAATCTTGCGAACAAACTCAGAAGCCGAAATCTAAGTTTCTGCGATACTCAAACAGCAATTTAAGATGATGAAGCAGCTGCCTTGTTCCTTGGCTTGGCTTCGGTACCTACGCAAGAAAAATGTCCAATAGTTTAACAACAAACCCCATTTACCAAGGATTCAAACTGGTGAATTAAAAACCAAAGAAAAATCGATGAAAGGTGACAAATTTATAGAATACAGTACCTTCTCTGAATCCGGTCTTGAACCTGCGAGGGACATTGCGAAGGTACCTCATCCTTCCAGTTCCAGTAGTCTTTCTACGGATTGCCTTCACACTCCAGTTGTCTAAACAACATGAACACAACAATCAGAACTATCCACAAGTTACATGATACATAATTTCAAAGTTTAAAACTTAATGCCATTGAAGATGAGACAGAGAAGCTTCAAGAAATGTGTAGTGTTCGTATAAATTAAGTCAAGAGAGGCTAAACATAAGATACAAGAAATGCTTTATCTAGTGTTATCTAAAACAGCACTGAGGATTTATATGCCTAACAAAAACCTTAACAAAGAAAAACTAAGAATCAATGAGATTTGCAATACTCAACATATATCATAACTCCACAGGAAACAGCAAACTAATAGGATCTAAAATGATTCCTTTTAACGAATTCAGAATGAAATGACGCAAACATATCCAAAGAACACTAATTCTGAAAGAAAACCAAATGAATTTGCAAATCACAATTCTACAGTGATAGGGAAACGGATACGAATTGAAAATGAAGAACGATACATCTCTTAATCTAACTATTTAAGCCGAATAAGAAGCAACTGAGACAGAGTGAAAGAGAAGGGAGAGAGATCCATACACGTCCTCTTGCGAGCGGCGGGGTAAGCACAGGCGGAGCAACGGCTCTTCTGGATGTGGAAACTGCGACGGCCACATCTCACGCAAAGAGTGTGACTCTTGTTTCTCCTCTTTCCGAAACTTCCCGTTCCCTTAGTCTGAAATCCTCAAAACAAACATCCATAAAACCAAATCAGAGATTCATATCAACAAGCAAATACACGAAAATAGATGAACCGGAGATCGAAAGAGAGAATCGTAGATCACCATTGAAGCGAATGCGAGTAAGATACAATTTTAGGTTCCGGCTTCAGAGAAAGAAGTGACGGATCAGGTCGATAAAACTTTATATAAATCTAGGGTTTCTTCTTCTTTATTAGGGTTTTGGTTGGATCGAAATACCCATGGGCCTTCGTTTTATGCTGGGCCTTTCTTCGAAACTAATCCAAACGATAGTTTTCCTTTTTTTGATACATTCTTTTAGACTAGCCAAAACCCATTATCAATTTAGAAAGAAAAATTATAAATATCACAAAATTATTTGAATATGCTGAGCTCATGAATGGCACAAATGTATAAACTAAGATGTTTTTTCATGAAAAAATGATAATTTAGAAACATAATTTATGGTTCAAATATCCAATTGTGGTTTATTTTATTTTTTTCATCAAAAACAAAACGTTGGTTTGAATCACAAATGTCAAGAATGAAGTATTTGATTGAATACTTGGGGAATATTCTATTCCATAAGAGCATCATTATCGGGAGGTCTTATTGGGGGTTTCAGGGCTATTTTTATTTTTAAAAAATGAATTAAAGCCCAAAATGAAAAAAACTGATTTTTATTTTGGGCCTAGAGAATCGATTCTTATTAGCCACCTGTCATAATAGGATTGCATAAAAAAAGAAAGAGAACTTCATCTCTCTCCATCGTTTGTATCGTCGATCATTCTCCAAATTTTTTGATCGACGAAACGTTTTCTCCTCACACTGAATCGACGAAAAAAAAACTTTGATTTTTGCATGTCTTATATGTCCTGCTTGTGAAAATCGGCTCATCGGAGTCATTATTGGCCGTCTCCTCCGATCAGAAACAGCAAAGAATCATCGGGGTTTTGTTGAGGAAATCGACTCATCAAAGTGTTCTGCATGTCCACCGAATCGACAGATAAGCTAAGTCTCACACCTTTTTTTGATTATGCTTCGACTTCTTCCCTTGATTTGCTCAATCGGAGCACATTAATTTGTTTAGTGATGGATGTTTGAACTTTACATCGGGTTCAATTTGGAATAAAGACTCTAATTCTATCCTGAACTTGTTATTGGCTGGTTCATTTGGTGATATTATTTGAATGAAGTAGTGGTAGAATTACTCAGTTGATCTCTTTGTAATACACAATTGTAACATGATGATGATTTATTGTTTTACACATTCTATGTGATCTTCGTACAATTGATATATGGCTTAACACATTAAATGTTTTATATTCGATGATATCTAATAAGTGTTTGTTTTCCTTTTGTAGAATCAAGTTGCGACGAAGTGATGGTTGTTGTTTACTCTGTTCACATCCTGCTCTTCTAATCGGCTGTCAAGGTATGTATTCAACTCTGTTATTTTGTAATAAATGTCTAGTTAGTGTAAGGCAATGGTAGGTTAGTGTAGATGGTAAAGTAGAAGAACTTGATTGCTGTTTAGCGAAGTAGTTGAATTGATGTGTGAAATGGTAATTAATGATTTATTGGTTAGAGTTGGTGTTAAGATCGATGGTTGGTTTTAAAAAAGAGTTAGATAAATGTCTACTCATTGTTCTTCAATGCTGTTTTAGTAGAGATAGATAGAGAAAATAGGTTGCTTGAGTGCTGTTTGCTGAGTATCAAGTTGTAGAATCAAGTTGCTTGAGTGCTATTTGCTTTTTCATTGTTCTTCAATGCTCTTTTGGTTCACGTAGATAGATAGAGAAAATAGGTTGCTTGAGTGTTATTTGCTTTTTTCTTCAATGCTTCATCTACTTCTCTTCAATGTATCTTCAATGCTTCTCTTCCTTCTTTGCTTTTTATTAACGCAGAAGACTCTCTTATTCTCATTCTCCTTTCATTCTCATTCTCCTTAACTCTCTGTTCTTCTTTTCATTCTCGTTATTTGTTTCATTCTCATTCTCCTTTCATTCTCATTTTCCTTTTTGTCTGTTCTTCTTCTCATTCTCATTCTCTCATCTATCTTTCTTCTTCTATCTATTTCCAAATGGAGTATTGTTCTCCGACTCCTTTTTCACACGCGACCAACTTCGTTGAGCTTCTAAACTCACAGCAAGACAGTGTCTTCTGTGGTTATCCAACAAGCCTTGGTGAGGAGATGCATGTCCCTGCTTCACCTGTCGTGGAAGCCTTGGGTGGAGAACAGAAGACAACTCGGAATACATGGAGTCCTGCAGATGATGTGCTGCTGATAAGCTCGTGGCTTAACACGAGTAAGGACTCCATCGTCGGCAATGAGCAACGCGCAGGGCCCTTCTGGAAAAGAATTTCTGAGTTTTATGCGGCCAGTTCCAAGTCTTCAGGCCATGATCATCCAGATGCAAGTCAGTGCAAACAGCGATGGCAGAAGATCAACGTTTTGGTATGCAAGTTCGTGGGAGCTTATGAATATGGAACAAGGGAGAAGACATCTGGTCAGAATGAGAATGACATTCTCAAAGCAGCTCATGAAATTTTTTTTAACCTTTACAAGAAAAAATTCACGCTGGAACATGCCTGGAAGGAACTCAGGTGGGATAAGTGGACAACCCATGCAGCAAGCAAAGTAGGAGGAAGCAACAAAAGAAAGAAGCAGGTTGATGGTTCTCAATCACCAACCGATGAACAGACGGCTTCTGAGGCAGAAAAAATGAACAAACGACCCATTGGTGTTAAAGCGGCTAAAGCAAAGGATAAGAGAACAATCATTGACGTGAAGGCTGTACTTGGAGACTTTCGGACCATGTGGGATGTTAAGGCAAAAGACTTAGCTGAGAAGAAAGCCATTTCCAAAATGGCGGTTCTTGAGAGGCTCCTTGCTAAGCCGGAACCGCTTTCTGAACCAGAGGAAGCACTAAAGCTGAAGCTGATCGCTGAGCTGATGGAGTAAGATGGTTGTTTAGCTAGTTTTTATGTTTGCTTCAGTCATAAGGTACTGAAGTTTTGGTTAGGGTTTAAGACCTTTTTTGATTAGGACTTTGCTATGATCATTTCGGAGATGTATTTTTATTTCATGTTTTGTTTCTTTGTAAAACAAGTTTGGAACTTAAGTGTTTGTACTTAAGTTCTGGAATGTTTAATGTAGGCAGTATGTTTTTCTATTCCTTAAGCGTTTATACTTTGTGTGGTTTGGTTTGTTGATGATGATGATATATTTGTGTGTGGTTGGTGTGTTAAAACGTTTGTGTGGTTATTATGTTTCAGGGATTTTGCAGCAAAGGAAAGTCAAAAAGCATGCACAACACTACAAAGACGGTCACGAGCATTGTAGTCGGCACAAAACTACAAATGGATTGGGCCATTGCTTGTCATTTCTTTGTTTCAATAATCGTTTCCATTTTGTTTTCTTCTTATGTAAGTTGGAGACCACAATTTCCATGTAATTTCTAAACCACATATTTTCTATGTAGACTCTCTATTTATAGTGTGCGAAAGGAAATTGTATCAAACCAACTTCTTCACTTTAGTTTTCTCATACATTCGATTCCAAGAATTCAAGTTTTCCTTTTATTCCACATACTCTCTTAATTTGCTTTTTGTCTTGCATTCGTCTTTACAAAAAAAACACTAAGTTTATTTCACTCTCATTCTCTTTCATGCTCTCACTTTACTTTACCAATTCTACTTACAAAACCAAACACCTTTTATGGCTTCCTCTTCCAATAATCCTTTTCCTGGATCACCTGATGATGATTTAGATCAAAAGTTTGATCAAATGTTTGAGGATGTATTTGATCAAACATATGAAAATCTCTGCGTTTTGTATGAAGAACAAATGGAGGAACCGAGAGCAAGAAAGAAACGAGCTTATATTGAAAGACAACGTGAAGAAGGCCATAATCGTTTATGGAACGATTACTTTAGTGAGTCGTCAACATACCCCGCAAATTTATTCCGACGCCGTTTTAGGATGAACAAATCGTTGTTCTTGAAGATTGTTGGAAAACTTTCCAACGAGCATCGTTACTTTTGCAGAAGAAAGATGCTCTAGGAAGACCTGGTCTCTCTGCACTTCAAAAATGTACCGCATCCATCCGTATCTTGGCATATGGCAGTGCTGCTGATGCGGTCGATGAATATCTCCGGATAGGTGAAACTACAAGTCGTAAATGTTTGGAACATTTTGTCGACGGAATAATAAATTTGTTCGGTGATGAGTACTTAAGAAGACCTACACCGGAGGATCTTCAACGCTTACTTTACTGGGGAGAGGAACGCGGATTTCCTGGAATGATCGGGAGCATCGACTGTATGCATTGAGAGTGGAAGAATTGCCCTACTGCTTGGAAAGGACAGTATTCACGTGGTTCCGGAAAACCCACAATCGTTTTAGAGGCAGTAGCGTCATATGATCTGTGGATATGACATGCGTTTTTGGGCCTCCAGGTACTCTAAACGATATAAATGTTCTAGATCGCTCACCCGTGTTTGATGATATAATACAAGGTCGAGCTCCAACAGTTAATTTCTCTGTCCAAGGAAGGGAGTATAATCTGGCTTACTATCTCACTGATGGTATTTATCCGAAATGGGCAACTTTCATCCAATATATTACTCTTCCACAAGGTCGAAAAGCAAAAAAATTTGCTGAAGTTCAAGAATCTGTCCGAAAAGATGTGAAGCGCGCTTTTGGAGTATTGCAAGCTCGGTTTGCCATTGTTAAAAATCCAGCTCTTTTTTGGGATAAAGAAAAAATAGGTAAATTTATGAGAGCTTGTATCATACTCCACAACATGATAGTAGAAGATGAAAGAGATGGATACAATCTACTAGATGTATCAGATTTCCAAAGAGAAGAAGGAGACGGAAGTGCAAATGTGGATAACACATATTCAACGGCTATGCCTACAAACATTGCCAGTATGATGGATACTCGAAAAAAAATCCGGGATCCAGGAGTCCAGGAACGATTGAAGAAGGATTTGATTGAGAATTTATGGCAAAAATTTGGATGAGATCAAGACATCTGAGTTCACGTTGTTAAATTTTGTTTACAAATTAATTTTATGTCTGAGTGTGTTTATGTTAAGAATGTTAATTTCTATTTTATGTTAAGAGTGTGTTTATGTTATAATCAAATTATAATCTTTGTTTTTTAAAAAATTTTGTTTAAGAAATCCAATCTAGATTTTACCAATCTAGATTTTACCAATGCACCATTATAAATAAGAAGGTTCTTATTCTAAACTCTTATTCCAAAATTAATAATAAAAAAAACATAAGAACCTTTAATGGGGTGTTAGCAATAATGATGGTCTAAATATGGGTTTGTCACCCAAGTATCAAATAAATGCTTTTTCCTCTTCGATCATAGATTGTTTGTTTGTTTTTCCTCTTTTTTTTTTTGGTTCCATCTTGTTTCCTTTTTAACACATCCTTCTGTATGCATTTAAACTGATGCAAATCGACTATTTTCTTCTTTGTTAACATAAAGAATTCGCGAGAGAACGTCAAGAGAAGATCTAATTTTCTCAAGAAACCATCCTTCGTTTCTCATCCATGGTACCTCTCATCTCTTTGCCTTTTCTTTTGAATTAACAAAAAAATATACATCATGATGGTTCACGTAACCGATTCAAGAACATGATACTACAAAAAAAAAGACTATATGATTTATGCTATTCAACCCAAAGATAAAAATATGCCATTTTGTCTTTTTTTTTTTAGAATTTCATAAAGGTTTTTTTATGAATTTGTTTTATTTTACCGTCTAATTTTTAGGTGATAGTCCCATTGCTAAACTCAGCGATAAAACTAGTTGCTTCGATGGCGGCTAAACCGGTGGCTTCAGTCACCGTCTTACTTTTCTATGGTGGTCTTCTTCCTCGGAATCTTCAATTAGAAAGATTAGCTGGTCATGATTTTACACTTGATGGCAATGATTATCTTGTTCAATTTATTGTATCTTTTTTAAGATGTTTATGTTAGTTTTCTTCTTTTTTTTTTCTGTCACAAAGATTCATTTAAGTCAATTTAACATTTTTGGTATGAGATTAGACTAGTAAAGACGGTGACGGAGGCATAGCGGCCAAGTCTGTTTACAGTCAAATTGATAACTAAATGTCTAAATCTAAATAAGTTAAAAAAATAAGGTTGTAAGTTGTAACAAAATATTATGATAATGTGTAGGGTGAGAAGTTTAGAAATCGAGTAATTTAAGGGCTAAAACTATTTTCATAAAAATTATGTGAGGAAACTAGAAAATAAGCTTTGTTTTGTCCGAACTGCCCACTGACTTGTCCCGAAGTCCGTCTACTGTCTACACCATAAATTCGCCATTAAAGCCCCTTTTTTTTCTCCCTCCCTCTCTATCTCTCTCTAGTCTCTGCAATTACATAAACTTTATTGGCAATGAAAGTCCCATCTTCTTCCTGATGCTATGACTTACGGTCCCCGTTTTTCTTCCTGATATTATGACTTAACGGTAATTTCCAGTTTCCTGATTAATCTTTCCGGCCGATGAATCTTCTCTTTCACGTACACGGGTTTCTGATTTATCAAATTGAGGCTGATTTCGTTGACTTCTTAGGGTTTATGAAGCTGTAGCTATGGAGCTGAAATGGGTTTTTTGTCGGAAACAAGCACTGCTCTTGATTTCTTGTCTGACTCTGCTTTATCTCGCGTCCTTGGATACTGTAAGTAAAAACATTCAGTTATTAGGGTTTTTTTAACTCCCTGCTAAATTTGTTGAATCTTTTAACAGATTTATAAGTGGTAATAATGTATATTTTCTTTATTCGATCAATAAAGGCCAAATTTTGAATTGCTTTCAGATATCGAGCGAATCAACTCAGAATGCTAGTGATTTCAAGAAAAGATCCTACAAAGGTAAAGTTTACAACTTTAACTGAAAAGAGCAAATGAGTTTTTATCGTTTTCCTTCTGATTCTTGTGACTGATTTGAAATTTGTTCCTTTTAATGTCTTGTGAACATATCTGAGATAAGACTTCGTATAATATTCACTGTCATTGTTTCTCTATCTACAGTTACTTGCCCTACCAATTGGGTCATTGGACTGAATGAAACGAAATGCTATGCACACTTCAGAAACTCTACTTCATGGGAGAAGTCAGAGATGTTCTGCAGAACCTATGGCGGTCACTTAGCATCGCTTGTATCGAACAAAGAGCTTAGCTTTGTTCAAAAACTATGCGGTGGAAACGCTAGCAGTTGTTGGATCGGAGGAAAAAGCCTGAATTCTTCTACTTTCCATTGGAGCTGGTCGGATCCTAAGACTCCTCAATGGAACCAATCCGTGTTTCCTAAAGTGCCAATTCGAACACGATGTGGCAATGACAATTCATTTTGTCGTGCTGCTAATATCTGTCTAGCCGTGACAAACGGTTCATTGCCAATCTTTGGTGAAAGATGTAATGCGTCTCATGCTTTCATTTGCGCAGTTGATTCTGGTAATAGCTCTCTCTTTCTCTTATATTTCCATGTGTGCTAGTTAGTCCCATAAGCCATTATAACTATGATCTTCTTGCTGCTACAATCATTAGTTTAGAGAACATGATCAGGGGTTGAAAAGCAAACACTAGGAAGTATAGGTTTCAGGTTTTTTTTTCAGCTCCTTAGGCCTCAGTTATGTGTTTGAGCTTTGCGTTTACAGTTACAATATTATGTTATGAGAAAAAGAACACGTTTTTAGTTTTAAAAATGTAAACTTTTTGACAAAAAGTAGTTACATTGGAAACAATAGAGATCTTAATCTGCCTAATTTCTCACTTTTTTGCAGATTTAAAATGTCGCAATTGTCATGGTGAATATCAAATCATCCTCCTAGTTGTAAGCGGTTTAATTCTCTTGACCACATTCGCCATTATACTATGGTTCCTTATCTACAAACGGAGCAAGAAACGCAGGAAATCACGGAAAGTATCGAATCCAGCTTCGTCTTCTTCAGCTTTAGTTCCTCCCTCGTGGAAGATATTCACAAGCGAAGAACTGAGATCAATGACCAAGAATTTCAGCGAAGCAAACCGACTCGCTGGAGATGCTAAAACCGGTGGAACCTATAGCGGCGGTTTAGTAGATGGAACGAAAGTGGCGGTTAAGAGATTGAAAAGGTCGAGTTTTCAGAGGAAGAAAGAGTTCTACTCAGAGATTAGAAGAGCCGCTAAGCTTCATCACCCTAATGTAGTGGCCATCAAAGGTTGTTGCTATGATCATGGAGACAGGTTTATTGTTTATGAGTTCATAGCCAGTGGTCCACTCGACAGGTGGCTGCACCATGTGCCTAGAGGTGGTAGGAGCTTAGACTGGAACATGAGATTGAACATTGCCACTACTCTTGCTCAAGGAATCGCGTAAGTCATCATTTATGCTTTAGCTTTCGCTTTTTGAGAATTTATGACCAAATTCAAACCGAGTTAGTTTGATTTGGTTCGAATTTAGATTAAAAACAATTTAGAAACTGAAGAATCATTTTTAAAAGGTAAGATATAACTACATTTATGAATTTCCAGTGAATTTTGGTTTATTCTGATTGGGTGTACACTATACAAAAGTTAGTTTCGTTTGGTGAATACACTAAATGATATTTTGGTATAAAGTATTGAACCGATCAGTTGATAAGTAAATTTAGTTTGGTTAAGTGAGATTATGATGAACTTATTTAGTTAGGTTATACACTAAGTTCGTTATGGGTTCCGCTTAGCCGGCACGAGATAATGAAACTGATCAAGTTAGAAACAAAAAGTTGGTTCGGTTTTGGTTTCAGTATTCGGTTGGTTTGGATTCGGTTTACATGTACATCCTTACTATCTATAGAAGTGATTCTACATCTAGTGATTTGGTTTATTTTGGATCAAAAACAACTTAAAAATCAGAACTGAAGATTCATTTTTTAATATATGATTAAATTTATGAATTTGCGATGGATTTTGATTTAGTCTGATTGGGTTTACACTTTACAAAAGTTAGTTTAGTTTAGTGAATTCACTAAATGACACTTTGGTCTTTGGTATAAAGTACTGAAAACCGATCAGTTATAATTAAATTTAGTTTGGTTGAGTGAGTTTACACCAAATTCGTTATGGTGTTCGGTTTTGCCGCTTTGGTTTAAGTATTCGGTTGGTTTGGATTTGGTTTACATGCACATCCTTACTAATCTATAGAAGCGGGTCTATATCTATACTTGGTTTTGTTTTGAAATCTGACAACTTTGAAACTTGTCCGGTTAAAACAGGTTTTTACACGACAAGGTTAAGCCGCAAGTGGTGCACCGTGACATACGAGCAAGCAATGTGCTGCTCGACGAGGACTTTGGAGCTCATCTAATGGGCGTTGGGCTCTCAAAGTTCGTACCTTGGGAAGTGATGCAAGAGAGAACCGTAATGGCTGGTGGGACCTACGGTTACCTTGCACCCGAATACGTTTACAGAAACGAGCTCACCACGAAGAGCGATGTCTACAGCTTTGGAGTCCTTTTGCTTGAGATTGTGAGCGGTCGCAGACCGACTCAGGCGGTTAATTCATCGGTTGGGTGGCAGAGCATATTCGAATGGGCCACACCGTTGGTTCAGGCAAGCCGGTGGTTAGAGCTTCTTGATCCGGTTATAACGTGTGGTTTACCGGAAGCGAGTGTGGTTCAGAAAGTTGTGGACTTGGTTTATTTTTGTACTCAGAATGTGCCATCGATGCGTCCTAGGATGTCTCATGTGGTTCATCAGCTTCAACAATTGGTCCCACCACCTTCAGAGATTAATTAGTTCATATTCATTTTCAGCCTGTGAAAAAGACAAAACGATGTCGTATCAGAGAAGTTTCTAGAAGTTTCTAGAAGTTGTAGGTTTATAGCTTCTGAACTAAGTAACTATGCATAAGTAACTAAGCCCCAAAATTATTACAAAAGGATTTCAAAGCGTTTAAAAAATAACATTCATAGCTTTTGCTATATTCTGGTTCTTAGTATTACGTCTCTCTTTTTTTGTTTGCTGGTTGGTTTGATTGAAAAAAGAAAATATGTTTTGCGGATCGTTCAAGCCCAAGTTATACAAGAAATGGTTAGCTTTCTTTAATCTTTGTTATTTATGATCCAAATGAGCTTTTATTTTTTTTCTGTGTTCTTCTTCTAAGATTCTTTGTTCTTGTGGGATGCAGCAAACATTCGATCAATTACATCAAGATTCGGCTCGATTTTGATGAGTAAAAAGAAGAATGCGATGGTTTACTTTTTGAAGACAGACATCGTGGACATTCTCAAGACCTGCCATGACAATGATGATAAAGCTTATAAAAAAGCAAAACTCCTCGTTCACTAATTTTCCTCTGTATTAATTTCTCTGTTTCTTAATCTGTCAACTTGTTATTGCAAGTAGAAGAATTACTAGAAGAGCTTAAGATATTTATCTTCTTATGATCTCATCGAGCGATGCTGCGACTGTATGAGAGCTTAATCAGAGCTTTATTTACGCGTAGATATGGTAATTCTCTTGACTCGTCTGAGAGGTTGGTGTTGATTCGTTAATACTAATCTCTGACATTACTAAGATCCATATTGTTGACAAATCTTTGTATTTAAATATAAAATCGTAGATGGAAAAAGTGAGAATGAATCGGTTCTTTCACCAAGTTGAAGAAGAGATTCATTGTCCGAAAAACAGTTTGAGTTCTGAAGCACGGGTACGGCACTTTGTAGACGTCTCATGAAACGTTTCGGGGACGGGTACTGATTGGGGACAGCTCGGAAACGTTTCTCTAACGTTTCTAAGAATTTGGGAAGGATTATATTAATATAAAAATTTTCCTAGTATATATTCATGATTAAGAGGGGTTATTTTTCTTAGTAGTGTAGTATTTGTGGATTTAGGAAATGATAAAACTCTCTTGAAGTATTAGAAAAACAAATTTAGCTCAAATGTATGTGTATTATTTTGTTATATACATATATATTTGACGTATCCATACTGTATCCGTATCTATAAATTTTTAATTTGCCGTTTCCCGTTTCCGTTCTTGTCCCAGTTTCCCGATTCCGTACCCGTCTCAATGCAGCATAGACACGTCCCGCTCGAGATTTAATTTTCTAAGAAGAAGATTTTGCCTTACATGTTAATCTCTACCCCCTACGCGAAACCAGTAGGTCGAGTCGATGAAAAAGTACGAGAGGAGAAAGTAGAGAAGAAAAAGAGTATTGATCAAGAAAAATCGAGTTTACTTTGGCCACAAGGCAGTAGTAACCAAGAGACAACGAGAAAACGTTCTCGTTTCAGAGACCTAAGAGCATGTTTATAGGGGGGTTTTTGGTCCGTTTCTTGTGTTTTTAAAGCCCAAAAAAAAAAGGCTGGGATCAGTCCTTATTTGGGAAGCTATAGAACCGTTTCTTGTGGGACAGGTGACGTGTTTTTATTGGGACAAAATTGGTTCTCGACCAAAACCATTCCTGACCAAAAATCTTCGACCAAAATGTTTTCTGCACCCAAATGTCTCGGTGAATAAAAATTCCTCGATCTAATCGCATCTCCAGTGCCACCATGACCGACTCCGCAAAGATTTCGGTGAAGAAGAATGGCTGCCGGCGATGGCGGTGGAATCCTTAGCGACGGAGATGGACACGGCGGTACGTGTGGTGCACCTTGCGTATTCTCTCTGTGTTAAAGTCCAGGAGAAGCTTTGTCTTCCTTCCTCCATTAACGGCGGTCACATTAAGTCCAAGGATAACGATTCCTCTGTTACCGTCGCAGGTTTTTCCCTCGCCGATTTCTTCTGAATTTTTTTTTTTTTTGGAACATACGATTCAGAGTTTGGGTTTTGTTTTTCTCCATTCATGGGATTCGAGCTGTGATTTATTGCAATTCAAGATCTGTTTGGTTAATGGGTTATTGAATTTGAACGAATTTGTGATAGTTGATGTTGGAGTTGGACTTGACATAAGTCCGGCTCATACTTCGAGTTAATTATCACATCGGTTTTTCTAGGCCCCAAGGCCCATAAACGAAAAAAAAAGAATCTTGGAAGGATATTTGATAGGACGTGACGAGCTTTAAGGACGAAATTAAATGGATAAGTGAAGATCCCAAAGATCCCAGAAGAATGGAGATCGCAACGTCCCGAAAATCTTGAAGTAGTTCGAATCGATCTATTTAGTATAAATCCTGAAGATCATCCAATTTCTAGCTAGAAACACACTTGTAAACTTATAATCTCATCAATACAATCCAAATTCGTCGATCTTAGTCTTTTACTTTACATCGATCTTATCAGAATTCTTGCCCAACTTCTTCTTCCACTAAACCAAACACTAAACTCTTGAGTGTGGATTTTAGGATCCACATTTTGGCGCCGTCTGTGGGGAAGAGACAAAGAAATTCTTACACCTGAGACCAATCTCAAAGACAAAGTAAGAACGAAATGGATCCCAAAAACACTGAGACATCTGGTCCGAAAACAAGCTCTGCTCCCACGCTAAACCCTAGCACGTCGGCTCTCCGATCTGGAAATGCTGAAATCACCGGAGCGCAGAGCTCGCCCAGCCAGAAGCAAACAGGCGAGTCGAGCGTCGGAAATCTGACACCTATCTTGACTCAAACTACAACCACGAGCGCGACACGCACTGTCGGAATACCCGCGGTGCCTCGCTCGGATCCCAGACCACCACCGCTACATACGTACTCGCGGACCTGGACAAGGTCTGGAATCTCACAGGTCGGATCCACCAGTTCGGACCAAACCGAACCCACCCGGACCGGACCGTCCCAAATGGTAACCGGTGACGACCTGGCAGAATTTCGAAGGATGTTAGCATTCCTAGCCGAGCAAGCTCGCGAACAACGAGCTATCCTCGCGCGAAATGAAAAAGAAATAACCAACATCCGAAAAGAGCGGGCACAGCCAGCTCCGACTGACGATGAGGACCCGGATGATCTATCCGAAGAGGAAGATCTAAATCCGACGCCATGTCCACTCCCAACAACTCGCTTGGAATTCGAACATCTCACGCGCGACGACCTGTCCACGCAGTTCGTTACTCCACCACGGAGCAACAACGCTCCTTTGTTTAGCGAGGTGGTCAACCACCTGCCAGTGTTTGGATCCGGACAAGCGGAGCGCAAAACCCCGGCAGTTGACGATTGCCGAGATCTGCTGTTAACACCCCCGCTCTTCTGCGGATCACAAGGCCGTAGTACGAACCGTGCTAACCCGCCAGCCGACAGGCGATCTAACGAAGAACGGACCGCTGACGATACTTTCCAAACCGGAAGTCAGCAACAAGCTAACGCGCACAACAAGAAGCGCGCAGAGGACCCTCTAAAGATCAGCAAACAACGCCGAGCTGAAACGTATGTATGCCGCAGTACATAAAGCAACGAGTACGGCTCCTGATATAGATCGCGTGCTGGACGAAACCAGAAGAACCCCCTTTGATAAAGACACTGGGAAAATGAAGTTTCCAGAATATAATGGAACGGCAGATCCCCTAGCTCACCTCAGAGCTTTAAGGCTTTCCATAGCCCAAGCTCATCTCAACGACGAGGAGAAGGAAGCAAGCTTCTGCCGACTCTTCGCCGAAAATTTTGTCGGATCCGCCCTAGAATGGTTCGCCGGACTAGAGGAAGGATCCATAGACCACTTCCAAGAGCTAGGCTCAGCTTTCCTCAAACACTACTCGGTGTTTATAGCTTCCAAGGCTACGGAGGCCGACCTTTGGACATGCAGACAGAACCACCAGGAACCCCTGCGGGCTTACTTGGCTAGGTTCAAGGAAATTAAGTCCAAAATAGCCAATTTGAACGAGGGAGTAGCACTCTCTGCGCTCAAACAAGGGCTATGGTTTGACTCACCCTTCAGACAAGAACTATCAGTTCGTTGTCCAGAAACAATAGACGATGCGCTCCATAGAGCCGCGAGCTTTGCCCAATACGAGGAGGAACAGAGAATCCTCCGAGAACAGTACGAGGCAGACTTGTTAGTGCCTAGTCCCAGCGCTACCAAAAATGCAGCCAAAAAAGAGCCCGGCGGCAAAGGGATACACAGCTTCACAATAGGAAGCTCGTCGAAAAAAGAGTCGAAAAAAAAGAAAAAATCAACCTACGACGCAAGCAAATTCTGCACTCATCATAACAAGAAGGGACATTCCACAGAAGAATGTCGCACAGTCCTAGCCAAAAAGGCTAAACTCGCCGCGAAGGCCGCAGAGCAGGAGGGGGAGCCCACAGGAAAAAACGAGGAACCAAAAAACTCAAAGACGTCAAACAATAAAAGAGACCGAGCCCCCATGGATGAAATCCGAGTTCTCCCCCTCTGGGACCTAAAAAAGAGAATAGATCTCATATTCAGGGGAATAACTCGGTGTGGAGGATCTATGAAATCGGTGATCTCACCTCCATCCGCTCCTAAAAAAGATGCAAAGCCGCAAACTGGCAATCAGCTATTAGAAGCTCGTAAGACCACAAAACCAGAACTTCCAAAATTCCAGGGAGTTCTGGAACTCTTCGAGCGACCCAGACCTAAGCAAATAAATTTCATATCCGGAGGCTCCAAATACTGCTAAAATTCGGTAAACTCGATAAAAGCCTACCAAAGAAGGGTTGAGACTGATATGCGGGAGCATGCTCCCTTACAGGTTCCCAACCACAAAGTAGTTTTCCTGGAAAGCGAAACATTCGATTTAGACAAACCACACGACGACGCTCTAGTAGTTCGTCTTGACGTTGGGGGGTGCGAGCTATCCAGGATAATGATCGATACCGGGAGCTCGGACGACGTGTTATTCTATAACGCGTATAAACAAATGGACTTCAGTGACGACACACTCTGCGGCACCAGATCGCCGCTAACCGGCTTCGCAGGCGAAACCACCTATTCGATGGGCACTATCACACTCCTGGTAGTAGCTTGCGGAGTCCAACAACTGACAGTATTCGAAGTTGTAGACCGCTCCGCCCCCTACAATGCCATACTAGGAAGGCCATGGCTCTATAATATGAGAGCAGTACCTTCCACATACCATCAATGCGTGAAGTTCCCAACCGCTGAGGGAGTCAAGACAGTCCGCGGAAGCCAACGAGCTTCCAGAATGTGTTACATGACTGGACACAAGCAGATCGAACAATCCCCTTTGTAGCAACTACAGAAACAAGAAGAGCTCGCCGAGCAGCGGGCAAAATGGGGAAACGACCCCATAACTCGCGGTCTACGCAAGGACCTTGTTGTCCCAGTCTGTATTGACGAAAAACACCACGACCGAGTAGTCAACATCGCATCAGAACTCTCGAGTTCTGTCCGCGACGAACACATAAAGTTCCTCAAAGAGAATATTGCAACTTTCGCATGGTCCACAGAGGACATGCCTGGGATCGACTTGCAGATAACTTCCCACGAACTAAATGTCAACCTGACCTTCAAACCCGTCAAACAAAAACGCCGCAAGCTTGGCCCAGACCGAGCCAAAGCAGTGAATGACGAGGTAGACCGACTACTTAAAGTTGGCTCAATCAGGGAAGTTAAGTACCCAGATTGGCTAGCCAATCCGGTCGTTATTAAAAAGAAAAACGGGAAATGAAGAGTCTGTGTAGACTTCACCGACCTCAACAAAGCATGCCCGAAAGACAGCTTCCCACTCCCTCACATAGAACGATTGGTGGAAGCTACAGCGGGACACGAACTATTGTCGTTCATGGACGCCTTCTCAGGGTACAACCAAATACTCATGAACCCTAAAGACCAAGAAAAGACTGCGTTCATAACAGACCGCGGCACATATTGTTACAAAGTAATGCCGTTCGGTCTAAAAAACGCGGAAGCTACTTACCAGCGCCTAGTCAACAAAATGTTTGCTAAACAGCTCGGTAAGACCTTGGAGGTCTACATCGAGGACATGCTCGTCAAATCTTCGAAAGAAAAGGACCATGTTGCACAACTTAAAGAATGCTTCGCAATATTAAATCAGTACGGAATGAAACTCAATCCGACTAAATGCTCATTCGGAGTACCATCCGGATAATTCCTTAGTTACATAGTGACTGAAAGAGGAATAGAAGCAAATCCTAAACAGATCGCAACCTTTCTCGAAATACCGTCCCCCAAAACTACGAGGGAGGTCCAAAGGTTAACAGGGCGAATAGTAGCCCTTAACCGTTTCATTTCGAGATTGACTGACAAATGCTTACCCTTTTACCAACTCTAAAAAGGGAACAAAAAGTTCCAATGGAACGAGGAGTGCGAAACGGCGTTCAAACAGCTCAAGGCATATCTGAGTGAACCGCCCATACTAGCCAAGCCAGTCGAGGGAGAACCTTTGAATCTCTATGTAGCTGTATCTCCCACTGCAGTAAGCGGTGTACTCGTTCGCGAAGAACAGAACGAGCAAAAACCAATCTACTATGTGAGCAAAAGATTTATAGACGCCAAAACTAGGTACCCTGCTATGGAAAGTCCTAGTGGTCGTAATGTCTGCCAGAAAGTTGCGACCATACTTTGTTATCGAGCTCACTCCAGATCTCGATGATGCAACACCATCCAGTCAAAAGTGGACGCTCCACGTGGATGGTGCGTCATCAAAACACGACTCATGAGTCGGAATCAGACTAGTTTCCCCAAAAAACGAGATTCTCAAACAATCTTTCCGACTAGGATTCCAGGCTTCCAACAATGAGGCCAAATACGAAGCCCTCATAGCCGGTCTCAGGTTAGCTCTCGGGATCGGAGTCCGAGAAATAAGCGCATTCAGCGACTCACAGCTTGTAACTAGCCAATTTCATGGCGACTACGTAGCAAAAGACGAACGAATGGAAGCATACTTAAACGTCGTCCGCCAAATAGCAAATCAGTTTAGCTCATTCGAGCTAACCAGAATTCCCCCGGGGGGAGAATACCTCCGCCGATGCCCTGGCAGCCGTAGCATCCACCTCTGACCCAATGGTTAAAAGGGTGATTCCTGTAGAAGGAATCGAAAAACCAAGCATCGACCTAGTTCCCAAGGCAGTCAACGTAGTAACTTCCTCCGACGAGGCCGGACCATCCAACAGACCCGGACCAGGGGTTGCAACCAGCCAGCCCGACAACCCGGTCAATGAATTTCCCAACCCCGAGAACCAATCCGCCCATCCAGAGTCTGAGGACGAACTGGATGACTGCGAAGAGTTCTCAGATAGAACGACCCCGGGAAGGACGAATTGCTCTTAATATTACAAACTCGATGGAGCTCGTTGATTCCAAAAGGAATTCAAGACTCCGCCGCTCTAACCAGCAGACTGCCTGACAACTTGGTCAATGAATCTCCGCGGAAGAAGTTAGGGTTCATCTGCGGGAACGCTAACTGCAGATCCGCCAGGATGACAAGAAGCCTCGGCGGAATCAGGATGGAGAGCCCGCATGCATCAAAGAATGGGGTGTACGCGACGCAATAGCCCGCACGCACGGTCTTCGCTTTCTCCCCTCTGTCTGGAACGATGAGTTCAATCGCCGAGGGAACGTCGTGGACTCGGCGGAGGCGAGCAAGCTCTTTCGGTGAAACGATCGAGACTGTTGGGACGTAGGGATGCTCCATCGGAGAATGTTTTGGGGAACAGAATTTTTCTCGAAGAGAAGTTTTTGCGAAAAATAGAAAACTGTTTTTCTCGAGCAAAGGAAATCAAGGGAAACTGAAAACCAAAATAAAAAGAAAAGGAGGTGAGAAGTTACCTTGTAGAAAGTGGAGGCGTGCAGTTATGGTGAAAAGACGTGGGAAGTTGATCCTTATAAAGTAGCAATTATTACTGCTATTGAGATTGATGAACTCCTCGCAAAACCAAATCTGAACCGTCCATCTCTATCTGCGAACAAGATTTTACCATATCTCGACAAGATTCGAATACATCGTATCGAGGAAAATCTTAGTCTTGATGATTAAATAAATCTCGGTCTTTCGTTCGTGGGAAAAACGCTCTGAACCGTCTGGATAAAATCTTGAAGAAGAGGGAAAATCGAAGTATCCCATAGTTAGTCGGCCCCTTTAGTTCGAAGCTCACTAAATGGACTGGGGGGCAAATGTTGGTGTTGGACTTGACATAAGTCCGGCCCATACTTCGAGTTAATTATCACATCGGCCTTTCTGGGCCCCAAGGCCCATAAACGAAAAGAAAGAATTTTGGAAGGATATTCGATAGGACGTGACGAGCTTTAAGGATGAAGTTAAATGGATAAGTGAAGATCCCGAAGATCCCGGAAGAATGGAGATCATAACGTCCTGCAAATCTTGAAGTATCGATCTATTTAGTATAAATAGGATATCGCTTCTATATAAAAGATCATCCAATTTCTAGCTAGAAACACACTTGTAAACTTATAATCTCATCAATACAATCCAAATTCGTTGATCTTAGTCTTTTACTTTACATCGATCTTATCAGAATTCTTGCCAAACTTCTTCTTCCACTAAACCAAACATTAAACTCTTGAGTGTGGATTTTAAGATCCACTTGGTTTGCTTATCATTGAGCTGAAACGAGTTGGTTTAACAGATTGGGGTGTTCAAGCGATAGTGTTCAAAACTGAAACGATAGTTGGTTTCTCCAATAAACCATCGAAAACCTCAAGTTTTTTAATTTAATTCTTAACATCAATTAATTAATATAATATTAATTAAGAAACAATCATGAAGTTCTCCTATAAACATGCTCTAAAGCGCTTGGAATATGATGAAGTGGTGGCTCGCCTTGCCACTCTTCGCCGGGGATAAGACAGAAACAATAAGTTCATATTGATACTAAATAGTAATTAGATTTGATCAATTAAATATCTAATAATTGTCCTTATCAGATTGAAATTAGTCCACTAGTTGAAGCTTTCCACAAAAATCAAAATAGAATATTGAGAAAGAGAATGGATAAGTGCTCTCCTGTTGCAACAATATAGATTATTATTTCTCTTCATGTGACAAAACTATTGTTATTTTATTCTTTAGTCTTCCGTTTTGCCGACTGTTTAGTCCTCTAATCGTTTTAAATGAGTTTACATTCGCGTTTTAAGTTTTAATTATTTTTATGTGCTTTTAACATCTGATCGCTTGGTAGGCAGTGGTTTAGAGCACGTTCAGTAGTGAATCTTCCATGGGTTCATCGAATTTTAAAATTAATGTTTTTGATTTGCTTTATGTGGGACGAACTTCGGGTAAAATCATGGTTCCAGTAATGAATCTCATTTCGAGGTTCATCCGAAATAAAATATATTTTTTTTTTTTACAATTTTTTTTGGTTAATACAAGTATTATAATTTAAAAATACAAATCGTTACCCATAATCTTAAAAGATACGATTTAAAAAAACACAAAATAATACAAGAAAATTAAAAACGTACAATATTTTTACATAAACATTAAAACTTAATTAGAGTTTGGATAACAACAGAACATAAGATAAAGATAGAGGGAATTTGTTTTGAAGCCCCAGCATGCTCCAAAGTACATTCTCGAGCAGTTTCATCGAACCCCGCCTTGTCTTCCTTGTACAGCTTCGTTTTGTCTTCATCATAGTAGTCCCCCTCACCTATTTCTGGGTTTGTCAGCATCTCATGAAGTTTAATGAAAATCTGATTGATGGTGTAAATGAGCGAGAAGTAGTCGTTAGTCAGCATCCTAAGGAAGATATGTCCACGATCTCCTACGTTGGGGTAAAAAATTTTGGTTCTGAAGAAGACCTGCAGAAATCGGGTTGTTATGAATCTTTTCCGAGTTTTAGGAAGAGAAAATAATTATTTAACAACCGATTACTAAAATATGAGAACCGTTTAAAGCGTCATACCTTGGGTGGCTTGAACGGATATTCTGGAGGAAAGTGCATGCCGATTTTGAAGACTCCGTTCTCGTAAGGCGATCCTGCTGGTCCGAAAACCACAGCCTCCCAATAAAACATATTTCCATTAACGGGGCCTAATCATATGTGTGAAACAAAAAAAATTAGTATTTTATTCAAAACTCGGAAACAACATAATTAAGCGTAATACAGAAACGAAATACATGTACTGTAGAGTGGGCTCTTAACCCTCTCAATTTTCTTTTTATGCATCGTCATGGCTCTCTCCCAGTATGGGACCTCCTCTTCCGATGAACCGCTGTTGTAGTTTGGCATTATCTGCCCAAAACAGAAGGGGATCAGTACAATACAAAGACAAACGATATAGCACAAAAACATTTTGATACTAATATACACTACCGAGCATCTAAACAACTACAACGATTCAGTACATCATATCATATCACATATATCATATCATCATATCATATCACATCGATTTAGCAATATCATCATATCATATCACATATACCAAACAAAAAACAGAAGATCGAATCATATGGACCCGATAAACTACTTAATCATATTCGAGAAAGGCATTTAAAGTCTCACAAAATCGAAAACACAAAATCATATTCGATAATGCCTTAAACATATAGACGAATGATGCTAGTGATAGTTGGAAACACCAATTACATCGAAACCAAACTCAGATTGAAAGCTTAAAACCATTAAATCATTTCCGAAATAGTTTAATCAGGGTCTAAATTCATTGAATTACACCCCATTGCAACCCCAATACACATAATCAGCTTTGTTAATGCATTTTAACATACACACGAGTAATGCATATGGAAGAACTAGACTCCAATTTGAACCTCAAAGAAAAGCCCCAATTAATTTCCCCAAATTGAAAAAACCCTAATTTCATCGGAAAAAAAATTCACCAAATGACAGTATAACATGAATTCGTATTCGAAAGCAAGTGAAAAACGGTTTAATTTCATTGTATTACACCCCAATTACAACCCCAAATGAAAGCCCCAAAATTTTTCCCCTTTTCATATGAACTCTAATTTCACCGATTTCAATTTCCTTTTAAATCTCCCAAAATATTAACTTCTAATCGTTTTCGTGTTTGAATGAAGTGAGATGACTCAAAATCGACACTAATAACCCAACCTAAACCACCGATTAGAGATTTGAAAAATTTTCCATGAAATCCAAAACCCTAATTTCCCATTATCGAATGAAATCGGGCAAAAGGAAGAGAAGAAACACTTACCTCGACAATAATCACGGAAACCCAACCCTCGGTTGTCCACTACACCGGCAAAAATCGACGGTTTCGACGGATTTGACGGAGGCGACGAGAATCGCCGTAGGAGAGGAAGAGAGAAAATAAAAAAACTTGGGAAGGAGAAATGAATTTTTGGGAAAAATAAATAAATATATTGATATATAAGTGATTTATAATAAAATATTTGTCTACGCATATAATATTTGTAAAAACAATTTATCTTGTTGCATACAAAAAAAAAAAAAAAGACTACCGATCACACTAAAAATGTCGAGATGATATATACGAATATCACTCACAAATCTCGTGAAAGACCCAATCCTCCACCAACAACGGCTTCACAATCTTTAAGTTTGGCTCCAATACTTTCCTTCTCCCAAATCTCTCTCCACTCTCGACGACGATAACTCTATCTCATAAAAGGCTCTAAAGGAATATATGTTTCCTTTCTTGAACTTGATTTAATAGAAAAAAAAACAATTCGTGTAATAAAGAAAAAAATGAAAGATTAATTACAAGTTGTTTTTATGTTTGTTTTTGGGTAATTTTGTTATTTACTTTGTTCTGGATCAACTAGGTTTTTGCCCAAACTCCTTATCCTAGTTCAAATCGTAAAAAAATATTGACTATAAATACAGTTGCTCTGGTTTTAATTTATTTATTTATTCTTCTTGTCAAACATATTTTATTCTGGTTTCTTATTGAAGAGAGATCATGGAACCTTTTTTTATATTCCTCATAGTCCTTCTAGTCATTGTGGTTTTCGATGTGATTATGCTTGTAGTGAAAAGCTGTGAGTGTGGAGGACCATATGGCAGTGGTGGTGAGGGCGATGGTGATGCTGGAGGAGGAGGATGTGGTGAGGGCGATGGTGATGCTGGAGGAGGAGGATGTGGTGAGGGCGATGGTGATGCTGGAGGTGGAGGATGTGGTGAGGGCGATGGTGATGCTGGAGGTGGAGTATGTAGTGGTCATAGCGGCACAGTGCTGGTGGTGGTGGTGGTGGTGGCCGCGGAAGCGGAGGATATAACAGTGGCTGCGGCAGCGGCCGATGTGGAGGTGGCTGAGGATTCTAGTTAGTTTCTTATTAAAAAAAAAAAAAATCATCATACTACGTACTAAGATTATGCTGCTATATATTTGATTTAATATTACAATTACGTTTGACAAAAAAATCAAGTTACTTAATATAAACCAGAGAAATAGAGCACAACACTAGAGTCAAAGCGGAACTAAAGAGCGCGCCAAGGGAAGCCGAGAATACATAACCCTAATTTCGTCGACGAGAAAACATGTCGGAGCTTCCTGAAGTATTGGGATTTGGGAAGACTATCAAGACGACGATAAAGTGATTGATGGAAAGTTTGGAGGCTTTTTTTCTTCTTCCCAAATCTAAAGACTTCATTATATTCATCCAACCAGGCATTAATCCCATGTGAGTAAACAATGCTTTCCCTAAAGCATTGCTGGGACGTGTCTTATGGTAATCAATTCATTCGCTTAGGTTGGATGGTCGTGGTTTTGTTGAAAATCATGGATTTGCTTAGACAATGAGTTTTGCTGAGTTTAATACAAAAAAAAATGAATATTGTTACAAAATTTTTTGTCACAATAATCACAATTTCGTAGTAATAAAATTATTGTGATGGTATTTTGACGCTTTTTGAACAGTCACAATAAAATCGTCACAAACTTATTTTCATAGCAAAACCGTCATATTATTTGTGACGAATATCTCTCGTATCTATATTGTCATTAATAGCGACGAAAACTAATAGTAAAAAAATCGTATCAATTAAAGACTATAAAAAATATCTCAAAATTATCACATTTTGCTACATGTATAATATCCTAAGTTGCAAATCGTAACAAATAATGACTAAAGTGTCGTTGCATATTCGTAGACTAAAAATATTGTCACAAAACCATCATATTGTGTGACTACTGGACTATTTCAATTTTGTTGCTTCTTTCGACAAAACTTTAGTCATAAATCATATAATAAGTGATGACATGAAAAAGAAATAATTAATTTTTATTATTATTTTTAAGTTATATTATATTGTTTCGTTCCAAACCGAAAATTGGAGTTGGTTTACAAAAAGAATAATCGAGACAAAAGTTGAACCGGCTACACATTAACCTAATGAATAAATCGCCTAGCGATGCCCACCCACCGAACCGCCACGCCGATTTCCGCTGCTGCAGCTTCTTCTTCAACCCCCAATTAACCTCCTCCTAGCTCTCGCTGCCTTCCTCTAGCAGCATCGGAGCACCAGAGAATTTATTTATAATAATCCAAGCAATATACCTTCAGATAAAGAGAAGTAATATTTATTATTACCCATTAAAAATGACTCATTTGATCGAGAGGGAAAACAAATCTATCATATGAACCAAAAGCATATTTCAATCTTTTCAAATACTTGCTTCCTTCAAATCCTCTAGCTCCTCCTCCGATGATGCCACCACCACCACCGAGAACTCCTCCTTCTCCGTTATGCCACGCCTGATCCTACGCCGCAACCTCCGCCTCACATCACCTCCGTCGTCTTCTTTTCACCGCTGGGGATTTCGTCTCTCAGTCAAACTTCTCCGCCGCTCACAACTTGCTCTCGATCCTCTCGGCAAACTCTTCTCCTTATGGCGATTCCACCAAGCGGCTCGTCCATCTCTTCACAAAAGCCTTGTCTGCCTCCGCCACCACAATGCCTCTCCACCACGATTACACCACCCCTCAGCACCGCCGGAGAGAAAACAGTAGAAAACCTCGAAAACACTTGCTCTCGGAGATGAAGGTTTACTTTTATCGATGTCCTCTCACATCGCCGGCTAGCAACAGAGATGCTCGGAGATCAGATCTGATAGTCGGCTAGGGTTTTCGCGAGAGAGAAAAAGTAGGAACAATAGTTCGGTTTTTAGAAAAAGTTTCCCAAATATATAAGCATTTAATTTAGACAGCTTCATATATGCATCAATAATTCAATATCTCTTGCATGCTAAATAACATGTGGCATTGATTTTGTCATCATCTAATTTTCTTGCGACATCTTAATTAATATATGATATTAATATGCCCGATTTTATATTTGCTAGATTTCGCTATCACATCACCGAATTGAACAAGTTACAACATATTATCGTCATACATACATGAATATGAACTTTGACTGGAAAGTATATGACAAATCACACAATTATTTCAATAATTTTTGGAATAAATTAACGTTTATAACTGTAAGCACATACATTATTCGAATACTCAATTCATGGGACAGAAGAATTTGGTAAGAATTATCCAAAATAGGGTCATAATCACAATAGTATCATGGACTGGCTCCAATATAATATGTATGGTGGGTGATTGATTACTTTGGATGTTCCATTTACATACTTTACTATCAACAATAGAATCATGGACTGGCTCCAATATAATATGTATCATTGACTGGCTCCAATATAATAACACAAGGAGCCAAACCTTATGTGTTTGACGTGATTAATTAGAACAAGGAGCCAAAGCGAGTAACCGAATTGTCCTGTTTTCGTGAATGAAAAACAGAGTATTGATAACACTAGTTTTCCTGAATGAGAACAAGGTTTTCAAGGATAATCTTCACTCCTGTTTTCACAGAGAAGAAATAGGTCGACGGAAGAGATGTGAAGGAAAAAAAAAATCGACTTGATTCTTAAACAAAAAGGAATTGAGCAGCAATTTTGTCATGCTCTGATACCGTTTTTGAATCGTGAATATTAAATTTATTCCTAAGACCAATTGGCTAATGTAAATATAATTTATATTATTTAAATATATATATTGTATATGTAAAAATTTGTTTATGATTAACGTGTAAACAAAATAATTCTAAAGTAGTTTTGTAGCTATTACATAAATAATTATGACTGAGTAAAACTTCTATAAAGTAATTAAAATACCTCAAATTTGTTACCGTATTTAGGTTGTAATTGATTACGGTATTTTTTGTATTCAATTCGAACCAAATTATAAGTTGCGTTTAGTTACTATATTGTTATAAATGGAGACTATAAATTCATTCACAACTTCGTAACAAAATTATGACAACATATTTGGTCATAGTACTGTCACCATTATTACGATACTAATTTTTGTCACAATTTTGTCATTAATTGTGACAAAAATTGGTTACAATTTTAAAACATCACAAGATTGTGACGTAAATGCTACTTATTTGTGACAAAAAAAATTAGTCACGATATTGTATCTAAAATGTAACAAATTTGTGATTAATAATTTCTGTATCAAAATTTTGTTACAATAACTTAATTTTTTGTAATGATTGGAGTGTGCCGGACACTTATTCAGCCATGGTGACTCGAGGGAAACAAACCAGAACAAATTTTATTAATCGAATGTATGATACTGCAACTGGGACCTGATATTGAAAACGTCGATTCCAATAAAAGAGGGACATAGCGTGACAAAGGAAGTCCAAAGGGTATCCAAATCGGTAATCGGGTTCGAAGCACTGAGTCCTGCACGGGTTCAGACACGTCTTATAGGTATGCTCACAGACAAGATCACTCCCATGTGGTTCACTCGGTTGCTTATCTGATCTTTCGTCTCACTGCTCGTGATGAACTCAGGATTTTGATGTGTTCCATGTGGGTCGTAGGTCTCTTTCTCATGCCGGGTAGTTTGTAGGATTTTGTGATGGTACAAACCGTCTTTGCCGATAATGAAAAATACAGTTAATTCAAAAAGATCGTTTGTTGATTGTGAGAAAACTCCCAAAAATAGCAAATTCCTATCGGTTTTTGCTCGCCTGGTCGCATGGTCGTGTCTTCTGGGGGAAGCGATGGATCCAGGCATAAAAAAAGGTTCAAAAAATAATAATATAATGATTGGAATATAATAAGTGCATGGAAACAGAACGATTTACCTTATAAAATTCGGTATGTAACTTCTATGGATTGGTTTTTTTTTTTTTTTTTTTTTTTTTTTTTTTTTTTTTAACTTCTATGGATTGTTTGTATCAATAAAACTAATTCTAACCAAACTGGTTTCGTATATGTCAATATAATACTTATATAGCACGGACCCCTTGCAATGTCTCGTTCGCAGTTTCAAATAATGTTAACACCAAAGTGATCAAACTGAAGAAAATAAATGACTCACTTTCCTTACAGAATTTTGAATTTTGAAACTCCAACGAAACCAGAGACTTATATATGACTTCAAATCTTAAATGCACAAAAAAACGACATCATTTCATAGATGAATAACTTAATGTTTTGAATTAAAGTTGTTGGGCATCATTTCATTGACTACGTAAATAATTCTTGTGTCAAAGATGAAAGATCTCACCACCATTTTCATCGATATTTACAAGGAAATATATATATTGAAACTAACATTCAAGAGATTATGACACAACTTTGTCTTCCAATCAAAAACCTGGCACAGAATCCAGTATTATATTATAGCAATTATCTATGTACAGCTATACACATTGTCTTTCATTTAATACATAATAAATCTTTTTTTTGTTTGAATACATAATAAATCTATAATTGCAGTCTAACAATAAAAGAAATGAGGATTGATTTATATTACAAGGTTTAAATCAATATTGAATCTTACAACCACATTGTATTCTCGACATGATCATGAACTGCAACTACTACGTACATGAAAATAAAATCTATGCTTCTTTATTTTTTTCCGGACAATACCTTCGATATCAACTCTTCGATAAAGCTGTATTGCTTCATAACTTCATGTCATAATAGTAAACATACAATGACTTATTATCAAAGTAATAAGTACGTTGAAGCACAATGATCTCACCAGCCGGAGTGACACATGAGAAGCTACATAAATAACCTCCTATCAACATCAATGCGTTTTCAGGCAACCATAAAGTAATCTTGGGCCATTCTTGCTTCTCGGCATTCTGCATAATTCATAAAGCACATATATTGATGATGATCAGGCAAAACTAGCATGTGGGATTCAAGTAGATATAGTTAATCCGACAATTTCTCGTCAAAGTTGTAGACCTGTCTAATTCAAGACTCAAGACTCAGGAGGCATCATT